AAAGAGATGGGACCCACACTTTTATTTTTTTATCAACTCTCTTTCCTCCTTTATCTATCTCTTTCTCTCTCTTAAATGATACAACTTTACATCCTTTAAAATGACACACACTTTATCCTAATAATATTTTCTTTTTACACATCGAATGTCGAGATCAAAACTACATATTTAAAGAACTCAAATCCTTGTCATTAGACCTATACAGGTTGGTGTATTCATTAATAGAGATAATGAATGATCTAGGTTCCAATTTAAGACTTCGATGGGTAAATCTCAAATAATTAATGTGTGTTCAAACTATAACCTCACACTAATTTTTTTTATCACAAAAAAATTGTTGCATCATAGAATGCTTTTAATATCCAGATCTCGGGTCTACCAGGACAATAAAAATGATTAATATTATAATAATTATAAGGATAATGACTTGTTTGACATTTTTTTAACTGACCCTAATTATCTCTTTAAGATGAGTGGGCCCCTCGGGTATCTCAAAAACTTTAGCTCTTTGTTAGATTTGACATTTGGGAGGGATGAACCACTTACCAGTTACCACCACTAAAGCATACCACATTTATAACCAACTTGATCATCGTTGGATCATAATTAAATCCAATGACTCACGATTAATCTTTATAATCCTAATTTTTTTACCCTTTCATTCTCTCTCACGTGGTCTCATCCTCTGACAACTCTCTCTCCGTCCTCTCTCTGGTTCTTCCAAATTTCACATGAAAAAATTCAAAAAAAGTCGCATAAACAAACCTAACATTTGATTTAGAAATCTTTGAACATCTCTTTTTACTTATAACATTTGTTGCGAAATCGGCAAGTATACCGTTCGTTTCAAGTAATAAAGTGATAAGTAAGATATCGTTCCCTCGAGGATTAATGCACCAAGTATTAATTTAACTATTCCCCTTAAGTTGGAAAAGAAAATTGGTTTGATTGTGAAAGTGGTTGATTGTTGTAATTTTAAAAACAGAATTTTAAAAACAATAGTATTTAAAGCATGCAAGAGTAACAAGAATGACAAGAAAATATGAGATTGAGTAAAAATTGTAAAAAAACTGTAGCCAGGATGCACTTCACCTCCGATCCTCCCTTATATTCTTATATTGTATTTTATAATTAACTAATTGGTTTGCTTAGACAATTCATTATTTCTCTTTAAAATAGTTGAATCCTAATGTCTTAGTGATTTCAACCCTTTAATCCAATCAGAATTCTAATGTCTTAGTAATCCCTCTTGAATTAAGCATTAAGCAAATGAATTATAAGTTTACAATCTATGTAAGCCTATGTCTAGGTCATGCACAAATTGTTATTCTACCCTTGTCCAGACTAAAATCCCAATATGTCTATTGTGAGTCCTAACCCTCAAACCCCTATAATTTAGAGGGATCAGTTCTAAACAGGATATCGAAAAATTAACGCAGGTAGAATAAAACAAACAAACTAATTAAATTATAAAATAGCAATACAGGAAATATAAAGGATTCACATCGAGTCCGTGATCTCAACTACAAAAAAAATTAGTCAGACATAGCTGGCTTAAACAAATTAAAGAAATAAAAAGTATTCATGAAAACAATAAAGAAAAAGAAGAAGAAGAAGATGAAGAATCAACGGTTTTCGTTCTTCAACTCCGTCGGAATCCTGATCTCCAACGTGAGTCTCCAAGAATTCTCTCAAGCCAAAGATTTTTTGTCTCTGAGGTCTGAGTCTCTATTTATAGAGTGTATGCCTTGCTTAGAAATCTTGATCGAATCTTCATTGTGTATCTTGGTCCAATCTTTCTCCGATTCAGCCTGGGATTTGTTTAAAAATTTCTCACGTAACTCCCGCGACGCTACTAGCGCCAGTTCCACGCTAATAGCGTGAGAGTTTTATTCAGTCTACTGCAGCTTCGCGCTACTAGCGTGGTTCCCACGCTGCAAGCGTGGTTGGCTTGAAAGGCTGGTGCTATTAGCGTCAGTTCCACGCTAGTAGCCTGGAGGTTCTGCCTTGAAAAGTTCTTATGGCGCTACTAGCACCACACTCGCGCTAATAGCGTGGGACTTCAGATTTGTGCTTCCAATTTAGGCTTCTTTTTGTCCTGATTTCCTACAAAATTAGAAGAAAATTAGTAACAAGATATCTGATTGAGATTTATCAATTTAATAACAATTATAGCCGTTTTATCCAAGATTGATCAAGATTCTTTCTCTTTTTGGCTTTAAATCATATATATGCTGGAGGCATATCAACATCTTAAAATCAAATCTTAACCGTTAATTTCAGTTAATCTGACGGTTATAAATTATTAGAAATTAATAATAAATTAATAAAGACCAAGGAAAATGATCACTTTAGCAGGTTTTTGCGATGTTTCCCGATTTCCTAATTTTTTTGTATTATTAATAAATTGAATTACCAAGAAGCACAGTTGTGTAAAATTTAACAGTCGGAATTAAAGAAGTAGAACAAGATTAGAAACATAAGATTTTACTTGGTTTGACTAATTTCCTATATTTAAGGATCAAAAGGGATTAAAACCCCTGACGAAAAAAAATTCAGTAGAATACAGTACACACAAATTGACATAGTATCAAACTTTCTAACGGTATTTTTTTAAAAATTAATCAAAAGTATACATTAAACAATTAATAGAAAACTATACTTGGTTCATTTGGTTGCTAATATGTGTGCATAAGACTCACATTTTTCTGATAATTGACTTAAAGGGTAAGCTCTGCGTTGGTAGTTTTACTCTGTTTTTTCTTGGCTACAAGAGACCATTTCCTCGTTTCAAGTTAATACAAAACAGTGCATTCCAAGGGACATTGGTCGTAACATGAACCTGGTTATATTCACCTCCAGCTCCAAGGATCTGAAGTTCATCTCAAGTCCTTTCTCTATTCCATTATTACTAAGAAAGTTAAGGTACGGAATGAATGATGTGTACATCTATGAGAATAACGAATATTGAGAACTTTGTAAATTGTACAAGACAATGAAGTGGTAAAAGGACAAGTAAAAAAAATTCAGAATATCTATTTCATTTGTTTCTTGTGGAGTACATGATTTTGATGAGCAATCTTCGAGAGACAGTTGATTTGAAAAGACTTACAAACCAACATAAATTGGCATTTTGGATCAACGTTTACAATGCTTGTATCATGCATGTATAGTAGAAAATTCCTTTTTCAATTCCCGTGTGATATTTGCGTCCAGGATCATATCAAGTAGTTTTAGAATTTGATTTATGACCATTACGATGAATGAGAATTCTAAGACACGGATCAGGACTGTAATTAACTTATTGTTTGTTTCAGGGATTTTATATAAAATGGAGTGCCATCCACCCCAAAATAGTTAATTGCACTGATGAACAAGGTACACTAAAAATCTTGATGTAGATGTTACTTGTCCTATTTGGAGCATGGTAGACTCCACCCTTGTCTGGTGACAAGTGCCAAAATTGAAAAAGAAGGGGAAATAGATGGGGTTGAGATTATAGAAATTTAATTTCAATTGAATTTTTTCTGAGTAGGCAACCTTCAACATAGGAGGCTACATAATAAATGCCCAAGCAATGGAGCATTTCATTTCAAGGAAACGAGATACTTCTAATATGAGATAGACAAGAAACCCTCAACTTAAATGCTCACTTCAACAGCCTTATTTTACTTGAAGATTAGGATTGAAATGATAGATAAAGCCTTATTTTCATTTTGCCGTTTTTGGTGGATGTCTACTCTAGTTGGATAATTCTTGTAAGCTGAATTGAATTTGATTTACAAAATCTCTTCCACTTTGATTTCTCCTTAATCTTTTAAGTAAAATACTTCAACCACAGTAGTTGTGCTGCTGCCTTTATTAGCTTTGCTGGAAAATATGCTTATAAAGTGGCATAAATTGATTACATGTGATCCATGGGAAACCTCAGTTTTGCATGGATGCTCCCGCATAGATTTTGTGCATCTGAGTAATTAAATAACATTAGTTGTTATCTAACTTGCTAGGGTTGTAATAGATACAAAAGAAAATTTTATACAGTACATTTATTAAATTAAGGTGCAGTTATATTGTAACTATCCCATCCAATGAGAAATAATTTCATTCCTATATTTAATTTAATTTGTATTTATTTGTGTGCCCCATACCATCTGAAAAATTTGGGACGTTTTTCTAATTTTCTCCATAGAAGACCCAAAGCAGTAAATACCCATAATGGAATTCAGCCGAAATTGTGGACTGGAGATACTGGTAGTAGATGTCCAAGTCTTGAGTAGTAATACAAGAGTAGGTATTTGTTCATCAAAAATAAAATAAAAATTAAGACTCCTATAACATTAATTTTGAAGGAATTGATATATTAAGTACAATTAATTGAATTGTTTTTATTTTCAATTTTAATAACTGTTATACTAAGTCTTGATTGAGTAGTAGGGCCGGGGTGGGGGTACCGAAGAAATTCTCACTTATAGGATATTAGAAAAGGGGTGTGGGGTAGATGGCCCGTGTTGGTGGGTTGGAACTGTTAGGAATTGGGTTAGGCATATTCCTCAAACTTTCATGGCATGCCAATAAAGATTCAACAAGCTATAAGTCAATATCCACTGCTTGACATTTAGTGTATAGTGGAGTTTTAACTTTTTTAACCACTATCATGACATTTTATATCATAAAGCATAGTAGAAGTTACAAAGAACTGTATCCAAAAAAAAAAAGTTACAAAACACGTACATCCAGAACCATTACGTGTTGAAATGTGAAGACGACTTGCAGATTTTCTGCCCCTTTATGAGGGCCTGATTTTAGGCATAATAATTATGCTGAAAAACATAATGACTCGGGCCAGACCCATGTGTCTTGGTCAATGTGCCTTGAAAAGTTGTACACTCCGGAATATGGTATTTACTATTAACCAACTACCCATTAAGAGTGGAGGCCTACGACACTCCTCAATTATAAAACCAGATACTTCATTCCAAATACAATTACCACCAAATCATTCTCTTTCACCACAGTTCTTCTCTATCTGTGCTAGTACGTGTAGTGAAACTAAAAGATGGCTATGGGAAGAGGCAGTGCAATGGTTCTACTGTTCTGCTTTTTAGTGCTTGCCTCTGATTTGGCTCATGCTGCCACCTACAAGGTTGGAGATGCTGGCGGTTGGACCTTTAACACTGTTGGCTGGCCTAAAGGAAAGCGCATTCGGGCTGGTGACACACTTGGTCAGTATTTTCCTATCATTAAAGGTTTTTATTAAACATCCACTAAATCTTAATTCCCTCTCTTCTTCTTAGTTTAAGAAATAAATAAGGATTTTATTTTTCTTACGTTCCGTAAAATAAATGTTTTTTTTCTATTCTCACAACAAATGATAAGACCTACTTTATTTTTAAAAAAAAAGAAAAGAGAAAAAATCAGAACACAGAAATCGAAGTAAGAGTAGGAGATAAAATTTTTCTTATGTGACATAAAAAAAATAAAATCAAATAAATAAAGGTATTAACATTTAACAAAATTAACAATATGAGAAGAAAATAAAATTTTCAAAATATCCTTCTTCTTTTTTTAATTTCAAATTAATGCTGGAGAAGAAACACTTTTTCATCAATTATGTTATAACATATAGTAATTTTTTTTTTATAATTGTAATTCTATGTAACTTTCTTAAGTATTTATTTGATTTTTGTATATGTGCAGCCTTCAACTATAGCCCTGGGGCTCACAATGTGGTGGCGGTGAACAAGGCTGGGTATGATACCTGCAAGACTCCAAGAGGAGCCAAAGTGTATCGATCAGGAAAGGATCAGATAAGGCTTGCCAGGGGACAGAATTACTTCATCTGCAATTATGTGGGTCACTGCGAGTCTGGGATGAAAATTGCCATCAATGCTGCCTGATTTTTATAGTTTAATTTTGTTAACTTAAATATCAGTGTGCTTTCCTATAATACTCATGTGAGATGTATTAGCAAAATATAGCCTGTTCTTTTTTATACTTCCGGAATAATGGTTTTAGTAGAAGTCATTTCCTGCTTTCAATAAATAGATAGGTGGGTGTGAAGAAAAAGGTGTGTCATGTATGCTTCTGTATGTTACTCATGGATCCAGTAACAATAAATATCGGTAATAGGTCTTCTGGCTTTCTCTCTCTCTACATACACACACATATATATATATATAAATCATGTATGTTTTTGTTACACTTTCACATCCTTTTATTATAAATAGATATATATATGAGAAAAATATTTCTCAATTATCTTCGGCCACCCTAAAATTACGTCGTTTTATTTATTTATTTTCTTATATTAATTGATTTATTTTTGAATGGTTATGATTCCCTTTTTCTCTCTCTTCCTTTATCATCATTGATCCATCTTTGTACGGTTATGATTTAGTAGCCGGAGATAAAATTATCTCAAACAACTTGAGAAATGATAAGTCCTATATATATATATATATATATATATAAAAGGATGTGAAACTGTAACAAAAAACATACATGATTTATTTAAGTTTACATAGATAGACAAAACTGTTTGTATGAGCGAAAATTGTGAGAGTATTTATTTATTTATTTATGTTTATAAGCGATAAAAGAAGAATAAGCAAGATTCATGGAATTTAATTTTTTATTAAGTCATTGAACTTTTGGCCCGAAGATATTATTTAAAAAATAAATATTAGTGCATTTTTAGATTAATTTATTCGATCATAAAAAAATTATAACTAAAATTATATTAAAACATTTTGTATAAAACAAGGTGTTGGATCATCACTTACTCCCGAGCTTTGGGGAGAAGTGGCAGAGCCGGGATTAAATTTTAGCCAGATTTAAAAATTTTGATATATTAAATTATTAAAATTTTTATCGTAATTACATAAATTTATTAGGAAAAAATTTACTATGAATTCTAGCATACTTATCTAAATTATTTACTAAATAATGTCACTTAACATTGAAAATTAAAATGAACAATTGCAAACGAATATACATCAAAGCAAATATATAAAAAGGCACTAACCTTTTCGGTAAACATTTCAAAATAAGAGTTGCACTTTCCTCCCACGACATAATAAGTAATGAACTAAGCATTGTCCTGAGGATATGAATATACACAAATATAATAACTTAACTATATGTATAATAACATTTAATAAATAATTTAAAATATAATCAAAGAATTGTATACCTAAAATTGTATACGGCGCTATTTTAAATTGACGAAATCTTCAAGGATAGAATTTGTAGTAAAATTTTTAGCAATCTCTCTTTCAATATACACAACCAAATTATTTGCAAGAAAGTCATCCTCCATTTTGTTTCGAAGCCTTGTTTTCACAATTTTCATTGCTGAGAATGCATGTTCACTACTTGCTGTTGAAACTGATAGTGTTAAGATAAGACGAATTAGCCTATCAACCAAATGATAGGAATTTGACTTTCTTGTCTTGGCTAATCCTTGACACAACTCAGAAATTGAAGATAAATTTTGAAGTTCTGAATTTTTTGGGATGTCCTTGTGGAAATGCTTCAATTGACAATTCAAACTAATTCTCTCTTGCTCAGAAAAATCAAGAGGATAGTATTTCTCTACAAGGTTACAAATATCATCAACATTAAATGCTTTATAACCATTCTTCAGATCTAATGAAGAGCTAAGTGATAAAAGCTCCATTGTTTGCTCAATAAACCTTCTATCTAACTCTTGTAATTGAAAGTCAATTGTTGACTTAAGGATATCAAAATGACAGTGATGCTCAACAGTTATTTGATCATGCTGTCGTCGGCCACGACCTTCAATATATTGAGCATCAAGATCTGGAATATCTATTTCATGAAGCTTGGAGAAATTAACAACACTTTCAAGTATTCTTTTCCTACCATCATCTCGCAATTCTGGAATAAGTTCCTTTGTACTTGAAACTAATTGTATAGCATTCAAAATATCTTGAGATTTTTGTTGTAATGCTTGACAAAGAATTTCAGTAATGCCCATGATCTCCTTCATCAAAAGTAAATTAAAGATAAATTCAAAAGAAGTGATCATCTTATAAGCTGCAGTGGCATCTCTTCTTTGAGAGTAATTTGAGTCTTCACTACGAATTTTTTCAAGTACTGAACACGATTCATTATACCCTCGTTGAAGACTGTATATAGAATAAAAATGAGAACCTCATCTAGTATCACTTGCCCTCTTTAATGTACCTATTTGGTTCGAACCTGTACCAGTTTTAAGCTCACAAATAGCCTGCACCATGAAAGGAAACCATGGCCCATGAAAGCGTATATTAGTTTAGAAAGGAAACCAAAAGAACAATAATAAAATAAGCTAAAACATAAATAAAAAAAAAAAGGAAATTGGCTTAAGCATTTTTATTTTTATTTTGGTTTTTCCCATTGCATAATAAATAGGTGAAGTAGTCTGTACGTCTATTTTCTAGCCTTATTAATGTATGCAATGAAACTTCTTTTCACAAATTAGAATTCCTTTGATATTTTTTATTTTTATTTTATTTATCATTATATTATCCCTTCCAAGCAAGATAACTTAAAATAATAAATAAAAGAAAAGGTGAATAAACGAGACAAAAAGAAATGATATCTATCCTTATCCACCATGTAAACTTAATATGTCATAATGGATATAAATAAAATCTAATATGGTTGCAACTTCCAAGCCTTGGGTTCGAGTAGGTTACCGCAAAATGGAGAGGTGTGGTGCCTTTGGTTTATAATATGGAGAGTCAGAAAGAAAGGTTGAGTTCAAGTCACTCGCTAGTTAGAGGCGTGCAGTGCACGGTAGGCGAAGTCCAGGTGGTGGCGAACGGTGTCAGAGGTCTTCAGCGATGGCGAACGACGCGAAGGGAGCAATAATTTGGTGCAGTGGTTGGTGTTTTCTGGCAACCCTACGCAGGGATGGAGAGGAGAATTCCGTTGATGATGGTGTTTAACTGACTTGGTTATACATTTGCTCTCTTCTTGAGTATTTTTTAGAGAATGATGTTGATGATAGAAGATTTTTGGGTCATTGGGGGTGCCTCTCAGAGTGTAGAGATGTTATTTTGACTATCCATTTTGTTGTATGCCTCTGAAGTTCTTTTCTCCCTATACCATTTTGATTGTCCATTTTGGTGATTACTAGATCCATGTACAAAGACCTATCTTTGTTTCACTTTCCTCTTCCCTCTACACTGCTTTCTACTCTCTATATCTTCCTTTTTCTTATATTTTTTTTTTTATTATTGAATAAAAACAAAACTTGTTGCATAAAATTGGTGTTCAGAAAGGGTACTGTGAGGATGGATGTAGTTCATCTCGTCTGAGACAAGAAAATAGTTTCATTTAGAGCACTTAGATAAGGCTTAATTGCAACTTTAGTCTGGATCAAATCAAAATTAATTATATAATTATATATAATAAATAAATTTTTTCAAAATTAGTGAAAGCCCATACCCCACCTAACTGTAACGTGGCTATGCCACTGTTAAGGGGCACTCATTGGTTTAGAGCTAGCTAGAGTCTTGGCCACAAGAGGGTTTGCGTAGAGGGAGACTCTAAGGTGGCGGTTGAGTTCATCAACAATGTGTGCCCTGAGAGGCATCCAGTCATTTTAACAATTTGTAATGAAATTTTTAGTCACAAATAAATTTTTTTCTAGTAGTATATGTATTAGCTAGGCTGTCTTTCATTTTTTTGTCTGCTGCGTTTTAATTTCCTTTGTTTTCCAAAGAAAAAAAAAATCAAAATTTAAGCCAAATCAAATATGGATTCAATTGCCATAATCATTATGTCTTAAAAAGAGCGCTTTTTTCTTGTGCCATTGATTTGAAGGAACTATACATTTCTTTTAAACTACTTACAGTTACCACTATTATTATTTTTTATTTTCAAAAAATAATGCGGCAGAGTAATGTTATTAAGTAAATAATAATTTTTCATCACCCAATTTTCGTTATCATCCAACTTTATTTTATTTAAAAGCTTCTTTTAGTCGCTAAGTTCCGTACTCAATTTTGTACACGCGCGATTGTAATTGGGTTCAGATTCGCTTAATTACTGATGGGTGTCAAGAACACTTGGTTAGCCAAGTAGAGTCGGTTATTTGAAAAACTAAAACAAAGTCACTATCTGATAGGAATTCACTAATTGATGGCTTAACCTGGTTTAGCTATAATAATAATAATAACAATAATAATAATAATAATAGCTAGTGCTCGTAAGAGTCTTTGTTTAAGCAGCACTAACTAAATTAGTTGGGAATCAATCTCAATCAAGCCTGTTTTGCTAATATTTTGTCTTGTCATTCTCGTTCCCACTTTAGATCTTTCCATTAAAATAAAACAAAAGAAATAGCTAGTAGAAATTATCCACTGACATTTTATCGAATTGATGGCAATCTTAATATAGAATAATTTTGTTAACATTCCAGGGAAAAGTTAGAAGGTAGAATTTTAAATTTTAAGTATATTACTCAGAGGAGTACAAAATAGATATATACGTACAGTGATAAATACCTAAAAGGGGCACAATGAAAATTTGAGTTTTAGCCTCTCCTCCTTTTCTAAAAATTGTAACTCTAAAAAGATCGAAGGTAGATCAAATTTCAGGATTTAATTAAGTGACCCACCAGATGAAGTTACTCTCTTTAAATTAAAAACATTATGACTCTAGCCCAACCCGTGCCTTTGAGTCATCATTTTATGAGGTAGTTGGGCCCCAACACTCTTCAACCACCCCATTACAATTGCCAACATCTTTGGCTATAAAATCATATATCCATTACTAATCTTATTACCAAACCAAAAGTATATCTCTTCCCACCATACTCAATATCTTTTGCTATTGCAACTAAAAGATAAAAGATGACCATGGGAAGAGGCATTGCAATGGTTGCACTGGCCCTATCATTATGCTTGCTTCTTCACTGTGAGATGGCTCATGCAGCCACCTACACGGTTGGGGATGCAAATGGTTGGACCTTTAACACTCTGAGTTGGCCTAAAGGGAAGCGCTTCAGGGCCGGTGATACACTTGGTTAGTATCTTTGTTTACTTTTTTATTTTATTTTTTCCCATTTAAGAAAGGAAACTTAAGATCTTATAATCTGAGAAACAAGAACGTGACAGGCTCAAGTTGAGACAAAGTTATATTGAGTTTGATTCTAGCTAGAATGAAGTAATTCCCTAATAGACATGTGTTACTCTTGAGTTAAGGTTCTTGGGCTTGTTTGTATTCTAGTTTCAATGATGGGTAGTTCCGCTTGGTAGATATGTTACGTTTAACTAATTTTTATTTTTAAATTTTAAATAATTATTTTGTTGACATCGTATCAACAATTAATTATAGCTGTTAAAATCATGACCGAAAAATTACCATGAAATTGTTTATTACAGTTCATTCTTGTTGTCTTTATTAGATAGTTAAATGAATTTTCAACATTATTATAAAGTCTATGGCTGATAATTCATCTAATAAGGACTCTTCATATTATAAATTTCTCATGCAGTTTTCAACTACAGCCCTGGAACTCACAATGTGGTGGCTGTGGATAAAGCTGGGTACAACACATGCAACACCCCAAAAGGTGCCAGAGTGTATAATTCAGGAAGTGATCAAATCAAGCTTGTCAAGGGACAAAACTACTTCATCTGCAATTTTGCTGGTCACTGCGAGTCTGGCACCAAAATTGCCATCAATGCTGTCTGATTTAGTGGTTTAATTGGCTTTCAGATATCTATAATTAAGCTTATCTTGTCAATAAGTTCAATATAATGATCATTAGTGCTGTTTGATGAAACTATTTCCCTCTCATAGATCTACTCGAAACTATTTTTAATAAGAATTGAATTTTCAAGATAAAATATCAATTTTTCAACTAATTTTCGCCGAGGGACAAAATGTGATCATTTCTTAATATCCACATTCCAACCCTCATCATTTCATTTGAACGAAATTTTGGAGTTATGAATTAGGCACTCGTAAAAATTGGTATATGAATTTTGATTTATCTAGCCCGAAGTTGTATATGAGAATTACGGTGCTACTGGCTTTAAATTCTAATAATTACGGTGATACTGATTTTAAATAATCAACCCTAACAAGTGGGTCCGACATCATGTATCAACCCAAAACCTTAAGGCATTGAGTTTGTGCGCGTTTAGCATGGTTAATGTTTATTTAAGAGAATTGGGTAAATGGGATAGGAGGCCTAACAGGGGCATATGACCCAGCCTATATCAAATCAGATTTGACCTATTACATAAATAGAACAGGTTCATGCTTTTCTAAAAAGTATATTTAGAAAGCAGATCATAGACTCTTTTTTTTACATGCCGAACCTATAAGTCTATAGGTCAACCTATATTATATTATATTATTTTAAATAAAGTAAATAAAATCATTATTTAATAATTATAAATAATAAAGTAATATTACTTTAATTGTTTTTTAATTATTAAAAGCATAATTGGCTTAAAGCAGACCTAGGCCAAAGTTTTTTTATTAATTATTTCAAGAAACTTATATTACCTAAGCTTTTTATTTTTGGGTTTCATTAATTACCTAAGCTTTTCGTAAAATTAAATGTTAACCAACCAATTTTATTAATTGAAATAAAAATTTGATTAGATCGTTGAACATGAGTAACATTCTTGATAAATAGGATGGCTTAAATTAACAAGTTCTGCCAAGCTATGATTGTATTATGGTTTGCTCAGGAAGGATAAATTCTTTCCAATTAATGTTAAGCTCTAATTTATATTAATATAATATATAAAACTGTGGCAGTTATATTTACTATTATTTTAGTCTTGCTATTTTTATTACTTGATGGGTTACCGTTAGATCAATTTAAAATTAATGGTAGTTAATTTTTTTATCATTTTCAACCTTTGATTTTAAATTAATTTAACAATAACTAATCAGGAATAACTAATAAGTGTTGTAAGATTAAATAGTAATTAAGTATAACATTCCTCTATAAAACTAATATAATCATATCGTATCGATTTTATATATCTTGGAGATAGAATTGCTTCACATTATTAGCACCCATGTAATTTCTTTCATTTTTATTGGTGAAGGTTATAAAGTATTGTTTTAGTTAAACAACTACATAAATGAGTATTATTTGAACTTGGTTTTCAACCAACCCTAACTTGAAAGGAATTTTGGGATTTATGAATATGAACAGCAAAAACATCAACTCATAGCATGTGGTCATAAGAGACTTTAAAAATTATCCTTAGGGGCGTTTGGTTGATGAATTTTTTTTGGAATAGTAGGGAAATGTAATAGATAGAAAAATGATTGGAAAGATAGATAAAGTGAGATAGGTAGAAATATGTAAAAAAAAGTTGTTTGGTGGGGAAAAACTTTACTGAGAAAATTAGGTAACTTTATGAAATCAACAGTGCATTAAAAGTCAGATAACCGGTTTTCTGAAAAATCCCACCTTCAAATTGGGTTTCTAAACATTGCGGATATCTATGTTTCTCATAAATCCAGACAAATTGGATAGATGGGTTTTGGTGAAAATACGTTGAAACAAACATGGTGTTTCTAAAAGCCATAGTTCAAAAACATAGATATCCGCTGAAAAGCTTCCAACCAAACACCACCTTACGGAAAAGCATTTAAGGATTAATTGGGTGATGGACGGAAGAGGATTACTGCTTTGTTACCCATTTAGGCTGCTAATTAATGTAAGCGAGTGCAGTAGCTGATTAATTAGAAAAAATAATTACCTTTTTTTAAAAGGAATATAATATAAACCATTATCATTTTTATAAAAATCTCTGAGAAAGATGTATAAAAAATAAACTAATCCAATCTGACCAAACATATATTAAAATGTGTAAGGATCGATGAGGCAACAAAACCTAATCTAAAAGGATGATATATGATATATCACTTTCTTTGTGTAATTATCATCGAGGAGTCCAAGTGTCCTACCCATCATGGACAACCCGAACACAAGATTTATTATAGAATAATCCACAATTGTTTTAAGTATTACAACAAGTGGCGGACCCAGAAAATATTATTTATGTCCGCACATTTAGTGACGTTGGCTTGAGGGTTCGAGGGCAGTGCCCCCGAAAAAAAAAAATTAAAGAAAATTTCAAATGCATTGACGGATAGGATATTGTAATAAACAAGTAGTGTTACTACCAATCAATTTCACCGTTAGACCGGTTATGCTGATCCAACAGTAATATTTATTTCCATCTTTGTATGGTTATGATTTTCCATATTTAATACTTTATATTTATTTCCATCTTTGTATGATTATGATTTCCTATATTTAATGCTTTCACTTTAAATATGGGGGATCATAACCATACAAAGATGAAAATAAATATAACCGTCGGATCCACATAATCAATACAACGGTAAAATTGATTGGTATTAATATTGATAGTAACACTACTTGATTGTTACAATATCCTATGCCATGTAGAGATTAAAAAACAAAAAATTATAAATAAGAAAAAAAAACTTCACCTTAACATAAAATATTATTCCCAACACTTTTTTTTAATCAAGCTGATTTGTTGTATGGCATCATAAAATATACAATAAAACATACGACATCTCATTTCATCCTACCTTATTCCATTCATTTTCATTTCATCCCTCATTGTATAACAAAACTTAATCTAACCAACATCATACTATACTACCAATGTTGTCAAAAACTAGTGTAAAAACGTAAAAACTTGTGTTTTTACGTTTTTACTAGAGTGGGCGTGTTAAAACGCAAGTAAAAACTGTCCTTGGTAAAAACTAGTAAAAACGCCGTGTAAAAACGTAAAAACGGTAAAAACCTACGTTTTGACCGTTTTTACTTAAAACGATTTTTTAAAAAAAAAAAATATTTACAAAAAAAAAATTAAAAAAAACCCAATTTTTGTTTCCCCAAATCATATGCACCAGCACAATATCTTAATATATTTTTGTTTGGATATATGTCTTTTATAATTATGTGATATAAAACTGCAATTTTATTATAAGTTATGCTATGAGAATCGTTTTGTATTTTTTGATCATTGTGTGCATTGAAAGAAGTGGAATTATATCCTGATGACTGATGATCCAAAATCTGCAGAGTGTATGAAACAGTTAGAGCAGATTTGTTATCCATTACTTGTTACATCACTGTTTATAATTTTGATACTTGGTTATAAAAAAAAATTCTTTTTAGATAGACAAGTGACTCAACACACATGTTCATTATGTGATATTTTTTTTACATGCATATATATATATATATATATATATATATATATATATATATATATATATAATTTTGTATCTTGACCTTAAGTAGTAGAAAGTAAAAACTTTATGTTTCGTGTCGTTTCTACGTTTTACATTTCTACCACCCTTTCCGTTTCTATGTGGAAACTCGAGTTTGACAACATTATATACTACTATACTTAAAAAAAAAAAAATTAGAAGTTCCTGTCCGCAAGTGCGGACAGAAGTGACCATCTAGGTCCGCAATTGATTACAACTAGGGATGTAAATGGGTCAGACTAGCCTGGCCTGACCTACAACCCAGCCCAATGGCGGACCCATTTGGGTGTCATTGTCTGCACTTGCAGGCATAAAAAAATTGGGGAAAAAGTGTTCACATAGGATGTATGATTCAGGCCAAGTAAAAAAAATAAAAATAGGAAGATTGAAAGTAAAAATGTAAAGAGTATAGAGGAGAATCACACATGATTTTTCACGATTTTTGTGAAACAAAAGTGGTCAACTTTGGATCAAATAGATATATGGGTTTCGATCTATTAACCCTACAATTATACTATATTTTACAAATACCTTTTTGTGGTGTTATTTATTTTTTAATTATCATTATCGATTATTTCCTTAAAACTTTGGTTGATTCACCAAAGCTTTACTTTTGAAGTGGAAGCAAAAATTGAATCATGATTTTTTTTTTTAAAAAAAAAATCAAGGGCGGGGGGCGACGCCCTCGAACCTCCGCCCTAAGTGTGCAGACATAAAAATATTTTTCTGGATCTGCCAGTGACCCGGCCTATATATGACCCAGTAATTGTATTTCTTTCTTATTTTTCTCATTTCTTTGACTCTAATTCCTCTCTGATATACATTCTAGAGCTGGGGTATTATGTTGACTCTTTCTTGTTTGTCATTTTTTATTTCTTACGAGAAAAATTAGTGCATGCATGAATGGAACTTTCTTTGCTCTATACAACTATTTTCTTTGCTCAGTATCTGCAGTGGGAGGCCTACAAGGTCTGTAGGTCATATCAGACTTTCTAATTTTTAAAAATAAGTCAAGCCTGACCTATAAATAAAGCATTTGATAGGTCAGATAGGCTGAATATTTTTTTACGTAGGCTTAGACCAGGAAGGCCAAAGCCCGGGCTAGCCTGACCCATTTACACCCCTAATTACAACCTATACAATATAGATAACATAATAACCCAATAAATTTATTTATATCCTTAAATAATCCTAATATGTATAAGCTTTAAAGGTTTGTTTTAATCTGCAAAGAATTCATCGGGAACTAACTTAAAAAAGATATTGACATCTTAATTGTTTTAAACCATGCTATATATATATATATATATATATATATCACCTTATAGGTATTTTACCTTCTAATTACAGTCTGACATTATTTTTTTTTAACTGCCAATATATATCGATAAAAAAAAAGTTCAATTATTTCTTTCTATTAAAAAGAAGAAGAAAAAAAGTAATGTCATCTTACTAATTCTAGCTACACATTGTCATCAATACTATTTTTCCACTAAGAAATATTCATGAGTACTTAAGTTGAGTTTAATTAGAATACGTTTACCAAAAAAAAAAAAGTTGAGTTTAGAATATTTGTGTACCTAACCTACTAATGAAAATAGTTGGGTTAAAATTATTTTTACTCCAAGTCCAAACCAACCCAACCACACTACAGACGGTTGGCATGAGCTGCAGAACTGGTTAGATCAGCATGTATGAATATGATGACGTAAATCAAAGTCTTTCATCCAAACCTATAGAGCTGGCAAAACGGGCTCGGCTCGGCGGGTCAACTCGCACAACCCGCCAAACGGGGCGGGGCGGGTTGAGTTTTTCAACCCATGTCAAAAGCGGGGCGGGGCGGACTCATTTTTTGGTGGGTTGACGGCGGGCATTGGCGGGCCGAGGCGGGTCAGTGTAAAATAGGCTCGGACTGGCGGGCCAACCCGCCAAACGGAGCGGGGCGGGCTGAGTTTTTCAGCCCACTTTCAAAAGCGGAGCGGGGCTGGCTGACTCATTTTTTAGCGGGTTGATGGCGGGGTGGGGCGGGCCGGGCCGGACCGCCCACTTTGCCACCCCTACAAACGTACATATACCCTAACAAAGACAATAACCATAACATAAGTAATTGAGTTATAAAAATAAAGTAAGGGGAAAAAGTATCTAATATTATTTTAGATAATTTTATCTAATATTTACCGAAACGACGTCATTTTAGGGTTGAAAAATTAAAAAATTAGAATAATAAAGAAATACACCATAATTTTCATCCCAAAACAATATCCTTTCTATGAACATTAGACAAAATTATCTAAAAAAAAATGAACCCATAAACTAATATAAAATTTGTAACTTACAAATAACTCGAATTTGTATGAGTCTATAATGGGAGAAGTTAACTTCTCTTATCATAAGAGAAGTTTTAAACCCATATATATATATATATATATATATATATATATATATATATATAAAGTTTATAAACAACTATTTCATTCTAAAAACTTAAGTTGCTAGCGGCTATTATATTAATGCTTTTATATTTTTCTAACACAACCATTTGTCTATTTTAGCTGAGGATTAATGAAATTAAATTAATCAAAAACAAAATCCATGACCCTAAGATCAATTGAACCGAGACTTGACTTGAGAGGAAATTAATTTGCTACATAAAAATAAAAATCGTGAACCTAACCAAGTGGGGACCAAATATAGAATATCTTTTAGAACAAATTGGCAATTGCATAATCAAGTAATCATTCTAAACTTTAACACTAGGAACTTCCTGTCATTAATTTCTTTCAGGCCTGACCCCAGTGTCTTAACAAAATGAAAGCTAAAGTTGGTCCCGCCAAAACAAATTAAAGTATCAAAAATCAAGTCATAGGAACAAAGATCTAGGAAATGTTTGTAAACTTGAAATCATTATGTTAGTTGAATCACATTAATTATAGCTATACTGGGAAATTAAAACTGTTTATTTCTGCTTTGAAAGCCTGAAGACTTATCCTTTGTTGCATCAAATCATATGCTGACTCATGATATGTGTCAGCTCCAAAGGGCACTAATAGATTCCTCTCCCATTTACAAATTGATGGAGCTGACATCAATTGACTTTTTGTTGGTGGTGGTGGGTTGTGCTGCAGGCTTAGCATGAGTGGATTATATATGTGGGTAAGTTCTGGGGTCATCATTCGAAACACTACAACTAATAATGGTGGTCTCAAATAGCATTTCTAAGTCTAAATAGGAATCCAATGCTGCAAACGCAGCCCTGGGTCTCAAAATGTTTCTTGTAGCCAATGGACTTCAAACAAGTGGAGACACATGCAATTATCCATATTGCTTTAAAGTCTAAACTTGTAAAAAGGAGAAACTTCACCATCAAAGCCAAGACAGATTAAAGTTTAGGACATTAACAAAAGTGGGAGGAAATTAAATTAAATAAATGTTTACTTGTTCATGTTCAAGTTCACGTTTGGTGGTTGACCTTACACCAAAATATCAAAGAAAATCAAAAAATAAAATGAGGTACAATCAGTAAGTTAATGAGAAATATTGACTTCCACCAATTAAAGATACCTCTTTACTATAGGGAAAAAAAAAAATTACCTTCCAAGCATAAATTTACTTAGTATTTTCATCAAGTATTCTTGCTTCCTTCAATCAAGTATATTTTTCATCAATGAAAGTGGACATAAGATTAGTATAAGAACCTGCAAAAGGACAGAATGAAAACCCATTAGATTCAGATATATAAGAAGTTTCCTACTGAGACAAAAAGGAGGCATATATATATTGTAGATTATAAATTGCTGAGTGGCATGACAAGGAAGAAGTAATTATTCATAAGAAATGTGAAAGAGAATTGAGCCCTAAAGGGGTTTCTCAGAGACAGATTCACAGAGCCCGTTTGGCCTACTGGCCACCTCCAATTGTCACCATTTGGTGTGATTCTAAACAACCCATTAACGGAGGTGGACAGAATGCCAAAATGGCTATGGAACAAGGCCTCTGAGAAACCCTAGAGAGCAAATAAAACGTAGAGCGAAATGGAAATTCTTGCTGAAGTTTGAAGAAGAGATCATAGGTTGTGAATTGTGATAAAGAAATGAGAGGAAGAAACAAGTTTTCTATAATGGGTTTGGAATAAGTCTAGCTTTTTGTAGAAAGAAGTCATAAGCGTGCATGGAGTTGTACGGTCTATTGGGATATGTTCGGCGCTTCTATACTGTTACAAAGACTTTCAACCCCTCCATTTTTTTCTGAATCGAAGTTTGGAATGAATTTATCATGTGACATGAGGTGAGGTGAGAGATATAAATTAACGGTGATCCTTTTTTCACCATTTATCTTAATATATGTATTTTTTCATCACTATTGATTTGTGTTTGAACAATCTTTGTGATCTCGTGTCACTACTTAAGAGGATGTATATTTATGACAAAATTCCGCTTCTCTTTTGCAATAAAGACTCCGGTATCCTTCAGGTGCAACAATTTGCTACTGATTATCTTGCACATATATGGTTGCAGATATTGGGGTTTTCTTGGACCATGGTTGTTAATTTGTTATGTGCCTTGTGAGTTCACTATGCTTTTTGACTTGGCAAAAAAAGGAGGATGCAAAATGGGCTGGCCATGTCTCCCACTCACTTTCTAATTACTTTGTCAACTCACTGTTTATAAGTTCAAACTTTGACATTTATTGTTCTCCATTTTCTTAAAAGACAACTTTGGACATCATTAATTACAATTATTAAATATTGGCTTATTTGGATGATGTTTGGAACTTGAATGCCTAGATTCTAGACTTAATATTGAGCATGTCTTAAAAGAACATACACATTTTCAAAAGATTATTGTTTAAAGTTCCATGATTTAATTTAAAAGAATATTCCATAATTTAGTTTAGTACGTAGTTTTTCTTTTCTTTTAAAATAATCATTTTCTGCTACATAATCATCACACACTTTTGTGGAGTGTAAAACATCCTCATTCAAATGAATGATCATATGCCTTTGTGTCTAATCTTATTCATTTAACGGCAAACGATACCTTCACATATGAGCCCACAAGCACAAATGATCTAGCACAACTCCTTGTGGAGAAGCTCGCAAGGAAGATTCGGGTGCTATAAATTGGGGTTTTCGGTTTTAACGAGATTTTCACTAGACTATGATTGTAACAGGGACATGTAGGGTCGCCATATTTTTGTGAATGATTCAGCTCATCACCAGAGGTGGTGGTAGGTTTATTTTGGGTTATCTTTGGTTTTAATCGTGGGTATTTGTTAAATAAATAAATAATTTATTCTGCAAGTTTAGGTTTAGATTATTTTGATTTTCTGACGACATGAAGTTTGAGAATTGAAGATATTACTATTTTTTGATAATTTTTTAGGGAAATTGTTGGAGATATGGTGTTATCCATGTAGATACTCTAGGCTGTTTGTTAAGTAGTTCTGATACTGTAGATATGATGTTGTAGATATGTATCTAAGAGTTTGTTAGTTGTTGCATAACAGTAGCGTTAGCTTTTCCATATCAGTAGGGTTAGTTATTTGGTTGTTTATCTATTGGTTATCTGATGTAGAACCTTCTGCCTATAAAAGGGCATCGTTGAGATTAATGAAAGTAACTCGTTGATACAAGATTTCTTCTTGGTATCAGAGCGAACCTATGATCAAACATTTCCGCAGCATAAGAGTGTGAAAGTTAGCCTACCAAATGGCAAAGGAGGGTAGCAGCATGCTGAAGCCATCAGACCCTGGGTCGCCATTTTACCTGGCAAGTTCAGATAGCCCAGGGATCATGTTGACAACAGTAATGTTGCAAGAAGAAGCCAACTACGAAAACTGGGCGAAGCTCATGCAAAACGCACTCAAAGCAAAGAACAAAATCGGATTCGTAACAGGATCCGTGGAGAAACCAGAAAAGAAGAATGCAGCAGAATGGCGTGCATGGGAGATGTGTAACTCAAAGATCAATGGGTGGATACATAATACCATTGATCCAAGTTTGCAACCGTTTATAAAGTGCTTCGACGAAGTGAAAGACCTCTGGGACGATTTGAAGGAGAGGTACGCGGTGCAGAATTTTTCGCGAAAATATCAACTCAAAGCAAGTCTGGCAAGCATGAGACAACAAGGTAGTAGCATTGGAGCGTACTACACAAAGCTAAGAGCAATCTGGGATGAATTGGAAGGAAGCAAGTCTCGCAAAACCTGCGCATGTGGTGACAATTGTGCATATGCAAAGGAAATTGAAGAAGAGAGGGAACATGATCGTGTGTATCAATTTCTTATGGGGTTAGATGAATCCACTTTTGGTAATCTGCGCTCTCAGATTCTAAACAACTCACCACTCCCATCTGTCAACAAAGTCTATGCTGCTGTGACACAAGAAGAGACCCACCGAAACATTGCTCGCAACCAGGAGGAGCGTGGGAGTGTAGTTGGATATGCAGCTCAAGCAGCAACCAACGTGGGGAAGGAGAACACGATGCAGCGTATGGTACCTGATAAGCAGATTGAAAGAATACTTTGTCCTCATTGTGGGAAAACCAATCATGACCCTTCAAGGTGCTGGAAGATAATTGGGTACCCACCCACTCGAGGAGCATTCCGAGGTCGTGGCAGAGGAAGAACCGGAGGAAGATATACATATGAGCAGGCTCACGCTATGCAGACTCCAGAAAACTCACAAGATGTAGGAGCCTTCTCGGTTTTGACCCCTGAGGTGGTGAACAAACTTTTGACGTTGGTGGATCAGCCTCAAACTAGTGACAAGTTGTCCGGTAAGAATATTCATTCACAATGGCTTATTGATAGTGGAGCCTCACAACACATGACGGGGAGAATAGATATACTAACTAACGTTGTGAACATTAAGCCTCTGACCGGTGGGTTTACCTAATGGATCCGTAACCCATGCAGAAAAAAGAGGGACAATAATCCTCAACAGAAATTTCAAATTGCATAATGTGTTGTTTGTCCCTCATTTGCAATACAACCTTGTCTCTGTATCCCAATTATTACAAGATAGTAACAACAAAGTGATGTTTACTGATGAAAAATGTATTTTGCAGGACCAAACATCGACGAAGGAGACTGGTCTGGGTAATCTTCAAGCAGGCGTTTATGTGTTTCAATCGAAGTGTGCCTCAGTTTCTGTTGTTCGAGTTCAAGAGTCTGTTGATTTGTGGCACAAACGGTTGGGCCATCCGTCATATGAAGTCACGTCTTTGCTTCCAATAATTTCAAACTCTGCAGCCAAATTTATTTCCAATAAAGCCTGTGATGTATGTTGTCGGGCAAAGCAAACTAGGAATACGTTTCATCTATCAAATACTCGTAGTAAAAGTTGTTTTGATTTGATCCATTATGACACTTGGGGACCTTATCGTTCCTCTTCTTCTTCCGGAGCACATTACTTCTTAACTATTGTTGATGATTTTAGTAGGTTTGTGTGGGTGTACATGTTATCTGAAAAGAAAGAAACCAATGATCGAATCCATAAATTTTTTGTTATGATCAGAAACCAATTTGGCAAAATGGTAAAACTAATAAGGTCTGATAATGGAAGCGAATTCAAATCACAAAATTTGATGAATTTATACCATAACAATGGAATAATACACCAAACAACTTGTGTTTACACGCTGAACAAAATGGTCGCGTGGAGAGAAAACATAGACACATCCTGAACGTGTCTAGAGCACTGCTCTTTCAGGCAGGATTACCAGTTGATTTCTGGGAAGAGAGTGTTCTTGCAGGAGTCCATTTGATCAATAGAACCCCATCAAAGGTCCTTGGTGGTTGCACTCCATATGAAGCATTGTATGAAAAAGCACCAACCTACGATCATTTGAGAATATTTGGGTGTTTATGCTTTGATAATATCAGACCTAAACCTAATGATAAGTTTGCTCCTAGGTCCCGTAAGTGCATTCTCATGGGCTATCCAGTGACTCAAAAGGGTTGGAAGTTATATGACCTGGAAACCAAGGAATATTTCATATGCAGAGACGTACAGTTCCATGAAGACTCCTTTCCTTTTGTTACGACACCAATCAATGACTCAAGACATGCATCTCTGCCCTCCTTACCCGCAACAATAGAAGCTGTTGATCCTACAGTTATGACCGCAACGTTTCCAGAGGAAGTGCCATCTCCAGCACCGGCACAGGACCACCTCGTAGAGATAGAGGAAGGAATGGAGGCACCACCTAGAGAAGATAATGATGACAGGGGGAGTCGTAACGTACCAAGCGCAGCTGTGCATGATGTTGGACGCCAACGTCGTCCTCGTAGGGCACCTACATATCTCAATGACTATGAGTGCAACAAGGTTGAAACACATGAACTCTCTGCACCAGCTAGTCCTCCCTCTGATGATAGGTCAGGTATCAAATACCCTCTACAAAATTATGTTAGTTTATCTAAATTCTCTCCCAATCATCATGCCTTTGTAGCTGCAATTGATGCAGGTCATGAACCGAGACACCTCAAAGAGGCTATGAGAGACTCACAATGGGTTGAAGCTATGCGTAAAGAGATTACAGCTTTAGAAGACAACGGGACATGGACAATCACCAACTTACCTACAGGCAAGTGAGCCCTACCTAGCAAGTGGGTATTCAAAATAAAATATCATTCCAATGGGACCATCGAACGATACAAGGCTCGACTGTTTATTGCTGGAAACCGTCAAATAGCCGGGGAAGACTTTGGGGAAACATATGCTCCTGTAGCGAAAATGACCAGTGTTAGAACCTTGTTAGCAGTAGCAGCAGCAAAGCAATGGGAACTACATCAACTTGATGTCCATAATGCCTTTCTTAACGGGGACCTCAGTGAAGAAGTATATATGAGGTTTCCTCTAGGCTTCAACAATGGATCACATCACCAAGTCTGCCGTTTGAAAAAGTCCCTGTATGGCCTGAGACAGTCACCTAGAAATTGGTTTTCAAAGCTAAGCTCCTCCCTTATAGCCTACGGTTTCCAACAATCACGAGCTGACTACACTCTTTTCACAATGCAAAAGAATGACATTTTCCTTACTCTTCTAATTTATGTGGACGACATAGTCCTAGCAAGAAATAATTCTCAAGCATGTAAGGCGGTGAAGGATTATTTAAACAATTGTTTCAAGATCAAGGACTTAGGAAGCTTAAAATACTTCCTTGGAATCGAAGTAGCTCGAAGCAGAGAAGGAATATTCATGTGCCAACGCAAATACACTCTTGATCTACTACAGGAATCGGGTCTCGGCGGCAGCAAACCTGCCAATTGAGCACAACCATCGACTTGGACTTGCAGAAGGACCAGACTTTGATAATCCTGAACGGTATAGACGCATAATTGGGAAATTAATCTATCTCAACCTCACACGGCCAGACTTAAGTTATGCTGTCCATGTCCTCTCACAGTTTATGCAACAGCCAAAACAGGCTCACTATGATGCACCTATGCGAGTCCTTAGACACCTCAAACGGAATCCAGGACAAGGGATCCTCTTGAAGTCCGAATGTGATTTAAAAATTCATGCATATTGCGACTCTGACTGGGCTACCTGCCCTCTCACACGCAGGTCTGTTACAGGTTACTTCATCATGTTAGGAGAGTCACCAGTATCATGGAGAACGAAGAAACAGGTGACCGTAGCTCGATCTTCAGCAGAAGCCGAGTATAGAGCCATGGCAGCTGCCACAGCAGAGCTTGTTTGGCTAAAAGGGTTCCTTGCTTCCCTTGGCGTGGCTCATACCAACCCAATGGAGCTATTTTGTGACAACAAAGCGGCTTTACACATAGCTGCGAATCCAGTCTTCCACGAGCGTACCAAACACATAGAGCTCGACTGCCATTTCGTCCGGGAGCATAGTCAAGCCAACACCATTGCAACTTCATTCGTTCGTTCGCAGTCCCAGCTTGCTGACACTTTCACTAAGGCTTTAGGATAGTCTGTGTTCCTTGCCTTTCTTCCCAAGTTGGGCATTTCATCCTTACACGCTCCAACTTGAAGGGGAGTGTTGGAGATATGGTGTTATCCATGTAGATACTCTAGGCTGTTTGTTAAGTAGTTCTGATACTGTAGATATGTATCTAAGAGTTTGTTAGTTGTTGCATAACAGTAGCGTTAGCTTTTCCATATCAGTAGGGTTAGTTATTTGGTTGTTTATCTATTGGTTATCTGATGTAGAACCTTCTGCCTATAAAAAGGCATCGTTGAGATTAATGAAAGTAACTCATTGATACAAGATTTCTTCTGAAATAATAATCTTATGTTACATAAGATTGTTATCTTATGCATAAGACACAAAGTAAACGTGGAACCCATTTTAAATTTTTTTTCTCTTTCTTATTCTCTCTCCTCTCTCTTCTCTATGTGTGTGTGTAGGAGATAGCTCTTCTCCTATGCAACATGAGAAAAGACAATCCCAATTTTTTATACTGATTAATATCATATAATGCTTTACGGGTATAGAAATGTTACTAAAAAGTAAAAAAAAGTGTAGTTTGCTGAAATACAAATGGGCTTGTCGTTAGCCTGTTATTGGAATTGTAGTGTGCGTAAGTGCAATTAATTATGGACATTCCATGCTTAGGGTTATGGAAAAAAATTTGTTGCTTATGGATATTAGGGAAGTGTTTGTGGAAATTGTATAACGATGTATGAAGAGTAATGATCAATTGATAATCATTTACTCTCTTTTTGAAAAAATAAAAAATAAAAAATTGTGAGCTAATTTGAGGTGGAAGGCTGTTTAATTAAAAGGCGTAAATGAACCAAATTGATTGAATAACATTTGCTTTAACCAACTGATTTGATTTTAATTGACATTTTCTTTCAAATCTGAATGAAATTTGATTGTGGGAACCTTTCTTGGAATTTCATTTTGAGATTAGTGTTTATCATGTTATAGAAGATAATTTTATCTCCTACGTATACAAACACAAAAATATGTAAGACTCATATTTTTTTTCTTCTCTTTCTTCTCTTCACATAGCTTCACATAGGATCCACACATTTTTATGTGCGGAGAAGATCTCCTACAACATAAGAAATGATTAATCTCTTCTATTTTTGCTATAATGATTATAAGAGACAAAATCTCTTTTTCTTCTAGGAAAATAGAATGTCATTCTTCTCGCTTAATTTATTTTTTGTTTTACACCAAAAAAAATAATTTTTTGTTAATACAAAATTACAGTTTCTTAATTTATTCCTCATGTGGTTAATATTTGTAACATGATCTTAGATAAACAATGAAAATATAAAATTTAATATTAATAAATTAAGGAATTTAACTTAGAATTCATAGAGAGAGGGTTAATCTTTTGAAGAATAATAAATAGCAAGATATGTATTTCTTTTTTTTTCTTTTTCTCTTTCTGGTAGACTCAAACATGTATTTCAATTGTTATAAAAATTTAAACCAAAAAACTAAATTATGATAAGAGTTTAGATTCTGTCTTCCTCTTATAGAATGCTTGCAGGTGATCACTGATTCACCGTGAAAAGATTGCCGGACCGTGCTAAATGGAGAAGAATCGTTGCTTAATTTCAGAATCCCCCCCATACCCGTCATTTTTGTTGCGAACATTTATTTATTATCCTTACACATGCGTGAGTATTTATAAGTATCTGTGGATATTTAAAAATAAAATAAAATAAACTTTAACATTACATATTATAAATTTGTTTAATAATTTATATTTTTTACAAGAATAAAAAGAATCTCAAATAACATTTCAAGCTTAATTATATTTTTCGTAATAATCAAAGTACAGAAACAATTATTATATGAATAATATATATTGTTCAATAATTATGATTTTATTTTATTTTTTAAATATTATTATAAAGTAATAATAAAATATAAATTTTTACCTCATCTCAAAATAAAAATAAAAATAATCATAGATATAATATATTAAAAAAAATACGTTTACAAATTTACGGATATTCATAAGATAAATAGTGTGGTACTAGCTGTGATCCTCTACATTAATCGCGGTGAAAAGAATTTGAAATACAGAAATAATACTCTCATGCTACAAGAAATTAAAACTTTTTCCTACACAAATTCATTTTCCGTGCCAATTAATTTTTCTTTTCTTTTTTAATATAAAATATGGGACTCACATTTAACTTGTCTCTACTTTTTTTCTCTCCTACTATCTTACAACATAAAAAACCTTGAACCCTTTGAAAAAAAATAGGTTCTACGCATATACCCATCCATCTATATTATTTTTTATTCTTTTCAACAAATTACTGATTAATTAGCTTGTATAATACAAAAGAACCGGGCAAAAAGTTAAATAAAGAGTACACAATTTACTGTACCGAAAAAAAAAGAGTACACAATTTACTAAATATTCAAATGTTGATTTGAAGTTGTTTGAATTTTAAGTATATTGGAAGGGTTGTCAATGATAAACTATATAATGATTAATGAGTAGCAATGTGGATTTGATTTAGATAAAAATTAGCAAGAAATTTACTTTTACCAGAATAAGCTCCACAAATTTATACTTCCATGCTTTTTATGTTTCACAGAAAGAGTATAATTTTTCAATGATATAGATTTCAAATTTTTCCTTAATTATTTTGAGAGGGAATATCCAATTTGATATCTAAAATAAATATGTTACTTATGGTGCTTTGATTTTTGAAAGTTTAGTCTCCAAAGTCATGAACTTATTAGTAACATGACAGCATCAGGAAGGTGAACTTGTTAACAGTTTTGGAGACTAATTTATGTAGATGATAACTTTCAATGATTAAAACAACACAAGTTACCTCTTTATGGACCAGATTCTATATTTACTCTATTTAGGTAATCTTCTGCGTAATTGCATGATGTTTTAGACATTTGACACTTTGTAAAATAAAAAAAAATAAAAAAAATCTAATAGAATAGATATTATTAAATGAATTTATAGGAAGTACGTTTAAAAAGATAAACAATGGATGTAAAGAAGGAAATTACAATTGTACTCATTTTATTTCGAAAATATCAGTAATTGATATAGTTGTCTAACAATTATTAGTTGTTAGTTAAATTTAATTTAATTTCAAACATTTATAGTCTCAAATTACCCACAGGATAAATATTTAATGGGAAATGGTTTTCTCATTTTACATGAGAAAATTTTCTCATGCTACACTCACAATACATGAGTGGGTCCTGTTTTGATTTTTTTTGTTTTCTCACCTTTTTGTGGACTGCATTCATGTATATTCATGTATCGTGATTGTAGTATGAGAAAAAAAAATTCTCAGTGAAATGATAAAATTAATTCCCATATTTAATATCTTAGGACAACCTCAACCATAAGAATACATAGCAACTCCATGTAAAGAATGAATTTGCACAAAATACAAGAGAATATATCATGCTGTATAAGACGATTTCACTGACACAAAAGAATTGAATTCTTGCAGGTGAAGCGAATGAGATGAGGGCTAAGCAGCTAATTCTCGGTTCAATTGAACTGTACGTTACATACATTGTGTGTTTCTTTCAAAAAATCTTGAGAGGGGGAGTAAGAAAACACTCACTTCACCAGCGGCAGAAGCAAAATTTGAACAGTGAATATGTTTACATCAGAAAAATCTAAGCCGATCCTGCAGCAACCTTCTTCCGAACAATCCTTCTTCTCCGAGCTTTAGGAGCTGAAGATTCTGCTCCAGCGACAGTGTCTATCCTCCTTTGTTTAACACCCAGAATCTCAAGCCAAGAAACAACTGCATTCTTTGAAATAGACCAGTTTGAGGATGGTTTCTCTACATTCTTAGAAGGCCTGATGTAAACTTTGTTATCTGACTGAGCCAGCGGATCTGCCTCAACTCCCAGCCAAGCACGCCTGGAGGCCTCTCCTAATTGAACATTCAAGACCCTGTATACAATCCATGATAAATGCAGAGACAATAGCACATCAAAAGTCCACAATAATTTCTTCGGAAACTATCTAAAACCAATGGCAAAAGCTGCTACAATGGAGTGGTAAAAAGGATTCAGTTCTGGCGTTGGAAAAGGTCAGAAATAGTGCTAAACCATCAGAAGAAAATTTTTCTTCTACAAGTAGTTTTTCCTTTCAACAAAGACGAAAGAATATATAATTAAGAAAATATTGCCTTTGTCTTAAATTGCTAAAAATGTCAGATATGTGTGCCTCCATAATGCCAAGCCAATACTTGAAACAGGAGAATGATAGAACTGGATCAAACTTTAGGAAGTTTATGGAGAAAACAGATGAAATTTATTTTGTTACTGATAAGGAGAATAAAATGAATACAGTAACTGATATCCATGATTTTGAGAGCCAGGTCTCTCCCCACAACTCCATTCTAATCTCATTCTGCCTCCCTCTCTGCCTGCTGTTTCCTTTTATCCTACTGCCCACCTAGAGAAGTATCCTTGCAAATCTTGAAATAATGTCCCCTAAAATCGAGTAACTCTATCTAACCATATCAATTAATAACAAGTAACCCTATCAACTATATCTAAAAATATCAATTAATATTATGTAACACTAATATATCTAGCAGTATAAATTAATATCGGGTAACTATATCTAATATATCTAACAATATCAATTAACTCTAATTACTACTAGCAACAGAGCCTATCCAACTAAATCATTGGCCCAACCTACTTTCCTTAATAAGAACAAAGAACGTAGGAAAAGTCATAAGATAAGCGTCACTCGAACTCAAAATCTTAAGGTTTACATCTGCATGAATTAGTGTAAAAAAGTAAAACTAAATAACTCGATATACATAGGGTTGCGTGAGCTTGATGAACTATTCATTTAGTAGGGAAAGAAGCATACCTGGAGTAAGTGCTGAAGAACAACGCAACTCCAATTACATCAAAACGGTTAATCATTACTCTATCAAATCCACATAACAGTTGATATCTCAGGTGTGCATAAATTCCAAGGAAAGCACCATAACCAAGGGCATTACTGCTTACACTTGGAACAGTCACAGATAACCTGCTGACAAGTCAGGCAAGATACACGGTAAGGTAAAATAAAGTATTAGCTCGGACAATTCATTCAAACACGTTTAAAACTAAAACTAGCGGTGAAGACGGGAAGAGTGAACATTTTGCCAGGCAAAAAAATGTACCAGACTGCCACGCCACGCTAACAGTAAATTTTACCAAAATGCCACGCTGCACCTTTAGCCGTCGTTGAAGAAGTATGAAAATATAACTAATTCGCATTATCTTATCTTAACTCTTAATTATTTTCAGACTTCTTCAACGACGACTAAGGATGCAGCGTGGCATTTTGGAAAAATTTACTGTTGGCGTGGCAGTCTGGTAAATTTTTTTGCCAAGTGTGACAAAATGGTCACTCTTCCGTGAAAATGAGGTGGGCCTATCACGGAGCCTACGATCTAACCTATTCTAAGCTTGATTTAATCTATTATACTTTTTAAATAGAGCAAGTTTAGGTTTTGAGAAAAGTCCATTTAAAAATTAAGCCACAGGCTACTTTAAAAAGCCTGCAAGTTATCTTTTAATTTTTTTAATAATATAATATATTTATGATATATATTATTCAGTTGAAGACATATTCTGAAATCATGACTTGTAACATTAGTTCTCAAAGTAATATGATTGATGTTATTTCAACAAATAATAAATATTTTTTAAAAATTTAAAATATAATATTAAATTAAATTAGTAAATAGAGTGCAAATTATATGTGATCTTTATCAACATTTTTACATGTGTTGTTAATAAAAATATTATTTCATATAATCTTTGAGAATAAGAAATTTTATATTTTAGATTTCAGTTTGGAGCCTATAAACTTTAGTTTGCAACTTAGTAGGCTTTACAAGCCGCGTTAGGTTTTTTAAATTTTTATAACAGGTCAAGTCAGACCTATAAATCAAGCCTTTGATAGGCTAATAGTAGGGATATGCAAAATAACCAAAATACTAAACTGAACCATGAACCGAACCGCACTTAAAAGAATCGATTTTTGAAAACCAGTTCATGCACCGAACCAGTTTTTACAGAACCAGATCATGAACCGAACTGATTTTTAAAACTAGTTCAAGAACCAAACCATTTTCGAATCGAATCGAACCGAATTACTTTCGAAATAAACCGAATCGCTTTTTATTACTTATTTCTTTAATTTTTTTATTTTCTTTTCTTTTCAAAAGAGGATCGACCCGAACTGGTTTCGAACCTAACCAAACCAAACTGGTTTTGAACTAAACCAATCCATTTTCGAACCGAATCTTTTAAACCAATTCGGTTCAATTTTTCAAAAAACTTAGTTCAATTCGACCCATGCGCACTCCTAACTAATAGGCCAACATAGGCTCTAAATATTTTATATAGCATTAGGCTATCAAAGCCAAAGTATGGCCTAACTTGGCCCATTTACACCCTTATCTAAAACTATGTTCTAACAATCAAATGGACTTAATGTTATCAAACAAAAGGTGGATTTTGTTAGAGATTAATATAAATCATTAGTAAAGTCATCACCCAACACCTTAAAATTTTGGATTGAATTGGTTCTTAGTACGGTATCAGAGCTTCAGTGATCATAAGGTCACAAGTTCGATCCTCACTGCCTCCCACTTTCAAGTAGAATTAAATAAGCACAATGTAAAAAAAAAAATGGGCATAAGCAATATCTACCCTTCAAGCCCAAAAAAGCTATTGCGCGAGGGTATGTGTTAGAAAATAATATAAACCATTAATAAAGTCATCACCTAACACTTTAAGATTTTGGGTTGAATTGGTTCTTAATAGCTTTTTAACCCACATACCTTCCCTCCTTTTTCCTAGCCAAAGTGTTTGATAATGCACCTTGCCCGGCACCAGCACTTAATCCAACAATGCACAACTCAACAGCCTTGAATAAAAAGCACTGAATTCTCTTTTGTAAGTCAAATTCCCTAAGTGGATAGCTGTTTTCTAATATGTTGTTCGGAAGCTTCTGCAATGTATTTTGTATTTCAAAACGAAATGTGTTCCCATACGAACGACAAGAAGCAAGTGACCAAACAACTACTGCATTGCATGCTGCAACTGTGAGCACGTTGATAAGCGCAAGATCCCACTCCTGCTTCATCCTATATTAAGATTAAACTAACAATTATTTATCAAACGAGACCACACAAACCTTCAAATCATTAGGAAACAAACACCACACCTCTCCTTTCGATTATTAAACTCCCACCACACTGAGAAACCTATTGAAGCAGCCTCCTCTAGAAGAAGCCTATACACGAATGCAGGATCTGCAAGCAATCTGCGCAGTACAAAATTAATTAGGGACAATATATATATAGCCATAACCAACAAACAGAGAGATCAAGAGTTAAGAAAAACAGATTAACTTTAATTCTAGAAAATTGCAACACATTGAAGATATATTAAATTGCTGTGTCTTATCAGACATGGGAGGACACCTATTCCAAGTTCATTTGTAGTTGTGTTTAAGGCACCTAACTTTGAAAATTATACGTCCAACAACATATCATATGCCATTAGCCCATTATCCATGAGCATAAAATGTAGCCTTCTTATACTCTCAGGGAAGTTGAAAACAAAATAAATAAATGAATATATAGGTTTATATTTCTCTTGGTTGATTAGCACCCTAAATGGGACTATAACTGAAATTTCAATGGAAACAGACATGGGTGGTAGCCCTGGTTCATGTTATGGTCATTTATTGGCAAGATGTGCCCCTACTAAAAAGTTAAGGACTTATGGTCATTTATGGACAAGATGTGTTGTTTCCAATCCTAGATAGGATCTCGATTGATGTCAATTATTACAAAATTAAAATTACCTGCCAATGAAAGCCCTTGAAATTCCATAAGGAAGTGCACGGCAAATAAACCTACTGGTGGTTGGCCTGGCATTGAATGCTAGGAATCTTACCATTTGAGCTGAGCTAACCAACCCCTAAAGACAAGATTTCGATCAGTGTAAGGCTTATGTGCTTGACAGCCTGAAGGTGGCTTGAAAAATACTATACCATTTCATAAGCTTGTCGAAGCCCAAGAGGCAAATCCATCATTGTCCTGTACCACTCACTTAACACTGCATCTACAAATTTACGGTCAAAAAGCTGCAACAAGGACAAAATAAATGTCATTCATTTAGAAAATGTCAAAGGAAAGCAATAAAAGATGGGTATATTCAGGTTGTTACAATATTTTACCAGCCAAAATCTAAAATTAGTACAAATTAGATTTCTAACCTCTTCAAGAAGTATCCTTCTTCTAAACAAGCCACCCTCACCATCCTCATCGCCATCATCAAAGTCATCAAAGTAATCATCATCATCATCACCATCATCTCCTCCATCACCACCACCATGATTGATTTCCTTTCCAATACCCCCACTGCCTCCTCCAATGTCTATCTGCAATATTTAAGACATTGTTCACTTTCCAGTAACACAAGAATATATGCAGTGGCCCAATTCAACTACTGGTTCCAGAACCCCTATTGCTAGACTATTGTTGGTGTAATCACAAAAAAGCTAGTGCTTCAAGAATTTTAGCATAAGATCAACTTTTATTTTCAGCTAGCCTAGCAGGGTAGCGCCAATTCTTCTGACATGTATCTTGTTTGAGGTATCACTGATCTTATTGATATACCACATTGTTCTCTCAACATCAAGTTAAACTTGAAGACTTGAAGACACTAGGACCAAATGTTTTACGCTTTTGAACTGAAATAAAATAAGACATAATTCATATGAGTTTTCTCTTTTTGATTCAACAAATCAAGTACTGCATCAACCGTATTCATTCAAATTCTTTTAATCATTCCAGACTCGAAACCAGTAGCTCAAATCATTGATCCGCACTCTTTTATCAGAAGGATATAACACAATACTAAACATTACGTAAATCAAGCACCAAATACATAAAAAAGGCAAACACTAAACAGTTAAAAAGTTGTAATAATATAAATTTATTTTTTCATCCAAGCCAACAAAATTCACAATTCAGCAGCAATTAGGTGAACCAAATTCCGTTTCCAGTTTTATATTAACATATTATCTTTATTCATCATCACTAGCTTCGATAACTCAACCTTCTCAATCTAAATCCCTCGCCAAAGAAAGAAAAAAAAAAATAGAGGGAGAAAAAGAAAACAAAACCTCAGGGCTAGACACGACGGTTTGCTTTTGCGACATATCAGGCTTAGACTTCTCCAACGTCACCGCACCTAACGAACCGTATTGCTCCTTCATCACAGGACCCCAAAACGACGACGAAGACAGAGACACAGAGTCATTGCCCTCCTCTGTGGCGCCAGAACGCGTTTCTTCCGCCGAAACTCGAAGTCGGAGTTTTATCGCAGTGGCGGTAGGCCTTGCAACCAGCCGGAGAGAGCTCAGCCTCGAAATTGACAATGACCGCTTCCCGAATGAGGTATCGGTGAACACGGGAGAGTTCACTGCTGTGTGGAACACTACCGCGAGAGACATTATTGTGCTGTGAGAGTGGAGAATTTCGCTGTTTGGATGGAGAGAAAATGGAGGAGGATTTTATCAGAGAAGTTTCCCGAAAGCGAGGGAAAATTGGTTCTCTCTTTTAAAAGTAACAGACGAGGGGTTTTAGAGAGAGAGAAACAACAGAATGACGATTTAGAACGAGTTGACTCGGTTCAGCCTCAATGAGTTAATGTTTTACAAACGTTAAATTTTTTTTAGTAGTTATTCTTACGCGAGTATAAATAATAATAAGTCTTACCCTCAATCTTAATTATTCGTATACTTATATTTAACAAATCACATATTAATAAATCAAAGACGTTAGATGTAAATAGAATGAATGGTCAAAATACGATCTTGACCCTTTTTTTGTTCATTTATTTATTATTATCAATATTTTACAATTAATTATTTTAAAATATTATTTAATATAATGGTGATATTTTCTTGTACAAGTAAATTATCCCTTTTTTGGTATGAATTAATTATTTTTATTACTACTTTCTTATAATTAGTTGATATGTTTATAATAAACAATTCACGTATCAATAAATCAGAGTCGTTAGATATAAATAAAATGAATGATCAAAATTGATAATATAATTTACACTAGAGTAAAATGATCCTCACACCTTTTTTGTTCTTTTATTTATTATTTTCAATATTTTATAATTAATTTTTAAAAGATTGTTTATTATAATGGTCATACTTTCTTATACAAGTAAATTATCTCTTTTTGAAGGAATTAATTATTTTTATTATTACTTTCTGCAGTTACTGCAGATAAATTATCTGAGGTAAGCCAATACAACGTTGTTTTGGGGTGAAAATTATGGTGTTTTTGTAATTTTAATTTATTTCAGGGTTATAATAGTCTTTATATATATAATTTTTTTTTATTTTTTTGATAACAATATATATAATTTTTTAAGATTTCAAAACCAATACGACGTTGGAATAAATGCAGATAACTTATTTGCATTAACTGCAGAAATATTTTCCCCTTAATCGATATGCATTTATTTAACAACTCATATCAAAAAATTAGAACAATTAGATATAAATAGAATGAATGGTCCAAATTAAGAATATAATTTACACCGAATAAAATAATCCTGACCCCTTTTTGTTCACTTATATTATTATCAATATTTTATAATTAATTGTTTTTTTTGGTAAAATAATTAATTATTTTATAAGATTCTTTATTGTAATGGTGATACTTTCTTATAGAAATAATTTATCTCTTTTTTTGGTACGAATTAATTATTTTCATTACTACTTTAATATAATTAATTGATATGCTTATATTTTACAACTTATATATCAATAAATCAGAGCTGTTAGATATAAATAATATAAATGGCCAAAATTGAGAATATATTTTACACTACTATAAAATGATCATGGCCCTTGTTTTGTTCATTCATTTGTTATTATCAATATTTTATAATAAATTGTTTTAAAAGATTCTTTAGTATAGTGGTGATACTTTCTTATACAAGTAAATTATCTCTTTTCTGGTACGGATTAATTATTTTTATTACTGCTTTCTTATAATTAATTAATATGCTTATATTAACAACTCACATATTAATATATTAGAGCCGTTAGATATAAATAGAATAAATGGCCAAAATTGAGAATATAATTTACACTGTAGTAAAATGATCCTAACCCCTTTTTTGTTCATTTATATATTATTATTATCAGTATTTTGTAATTAATTGTTTTAAAAGATTCTTTATTATAATGGTGATACTTTCTTATACAAGTATATTATCTCTTTTTTGGTACAAATTAATTATTTTTATTATTAATTTCTTATAATTAACTGATATGCTTATATTTAACAACTCACATATCAATAAATTAGAACTGTTAAATATAAATAGAATGGCCAAAATTGAGAATATACTTTATACCAGTAGAAAATGATCTTGACCCATTTTTTTGTTCATTTATTTATTATATCAATATTTTATAATTAATTGTTTTAAAAGATCCTTTATTATAATGGTGATGCTTTCTTTTCTATTTTTTTTTTGGATAAAACATATGAATCCTCCAGGTGAGTCAATTCTTTATTATAACGGTGATACTTTCTTATACAAGTAAATTATCTATTTTTTAAAATGAATGATGCCTCGCCGAGGCCCGTTTTTGTGAAGGAAAACCTAATCCGAAATCTTACAAAGAATGCGGAAGAGGCTGCAAATAAATGTGCAAATATGAATTCTAACATTAGAATCACTGTAGCGGACATATCTTGGCAGTTTTCCAATTTGGGTGTTGTCAAGGTTAATACGGAAGGGGCTACACGTGGTAACCCTGGTCCAGCTGCTTGTGAGGGTGTCATTCGTGATGAGTTCAGTAAGTGGCTTGGTGGCTTTGCTTATAAATTAGGGAAATGTTCTTCATTCAAAGCAAAATTATGGGGTGTTCTTAGGGGGTTGGAGATGGCTTTGAATGCTGATACTGTAACATCATTATTAAAAGTGATTCAACAAGTGTGATCACTGTGCTCACTAGAGATGGTGCAGCAGTCAGTGAGAATCATTTAATTTCTAGCATATGGGCAATATTGATCGATAAAAACTAATCTGTGACTTTCAGGCATACTTTGAGGGAGGGTAACTCGTGTGCAGACTGATTGACGAATTTCATATTAGACTATCTTGTTTGACAGAAACCTCCTCTTGGCATCTAGTTAATGTTGCTTGTTACAGCTGTTGAGAGACCTTGTGCTTTGAGTCACAATAGTTAGGTTTCTTTTTGTGTTTTTTCGACTTAGGCCTTTTGTTTACCATAAAATACAAATTATCTCTATTTTGGTATGAATTAATTATTTATATTACAATTTTCTCATAATTAATTGATATGCTTATATTTAACAACTCACATATCAATAAATCAGAACCATTATATATGAATAGAGTGAATGGTCAAAATTGTAAATATGATTAGCACTAATATAAAATGATCATGACCCTTTTTTTGTTCATTTATTTATTATTATCAATATTTTACAATTAATTGTTTTAAAAGATTCTTTATTATAATGGTGATACTTTCTTATACAAGTAAATTATCTCTTTTTTGGTATGAATTAATTATTTTTATTACTACTTTCTATTAATTATTTGATATGCTAATATTTAACAACTCACATATCAATAAACCGGAGCCGTTAGATATAAATAGAATGATTGTTCAAAATTATGATCCTGGCCTCTTTTTTGTTCATTTATTTATTATTATCAATATTTTACAATTAATTGTTTTAAAAGATTCTTTATTATAATGGTGATGTTTTCTCATACAAGTAAATTATCTCTTTTTTGGTATGAATTAATTATTTTTATTACTACTTTCTTATAATTAATTGATATGCTTATATTTAAGAACTCACATATCAATAAATCAGAGTAGTTAGATATAAAAAAAATGAATAGTCAAAATTGAGAATATAATTTATACTAGTGTAAAATAATCCTGATCTCTTTTTTTGTTCATTCATTTATTATTATCGATACTTTATAATTAATTATTTTAAAAGATTCTTTATTAAAGTGGTGAAACTTTCTTATACAAGGAAATTATCTCTTTTTTGGTTTGAATTAATTATTTTTATTACTTCTTTTTTATTATTAATTGATATGCTTATATTTAACAACTCACATATCAATAAATCAGAACCGTTATATATAAATAGAGTGAATGGTCAAAATTGTTAATATGATTTGCACTAATATAAAATGATCATGACCCTTTTTTTATTCATTTATTTATTATTATCAATATTTTACAATTAATTGTTTTAAAAGATTCTTTATTATAATGTTGATACTTTCTTATACAAGTAAATTATCTCTTTTTTGGTATGAATTAATTATTTTTATTACTACTTTCTATTAATTATTTGATATGCTAATATTTAACAACTCACATATCAATAAACCAGAGCCGTTAGATATAAATAGAATGATTGGTCAAAATTGAGAATATAATTTACACGGGTATAAAATGATCCTGACCTCTTTTTTGTTCATTTATTTATAATTATCAATATTTTACAATTAATTGTTTTAAAAGATTCTTTATTATAATGGTGATACTTTCTCATACAAGTAAATTATCTCTTTTTTGGTTTGAATTAATTATTTTTATTACTTCTTTTTTATAATTAATTGATATGCTTATATTTAACAACCCACATATCAATAAATCAGAACCGTTATATATAAATAGAGTGAATGGTCAAAATTGTAAATATGATTTGCACTAATATAAAATGATCATGACCCTATTTTGTTCATTTATTTATTATTATCAGTATTTTATAACTAATTGGTTTAAAAGATTCTTTATTATAATGGTGATACTTTCTTAAACAAGTAAATGATCTCTTTTTTGGTACAAATTAATTATTTCTATTACTAGTTTACTACTGTTATATATTTTCAAACTCCTCGTTATTAATAATATTAATCATTCATAGGCTTTAAATATAAAATACCTATTTTAATATTTTTAAACTTTTTGACTATCCCAATTATTCTAACTATCCTAATGTCACGTTTTGTATGGAGAACGATCATTCTGTTTAATAGAAGTGGAATGAAATATTGGCTTGAATGGAATGACAATTCCAAATATCTAGTTTTGTAGTTTTTAAAATAGTACTGAAGTCACTATTTGTTTGGTACATTGAATCAAAGCTTAATGTAATCAAATTAAACCTATGTAGTTTATCCAAAAAAAAAAAAAAACCTAAGTAGCTTATAGCAATTATAAGAAACTTTTATTTTTTCTAGAGTTAGCCAAGAAACTTTTATTTATCCACATTGTTAGATAACAAACTAATATGAATATCGTATATTTGTAAACAAAAATAATTTTGTAGAAAGTATCAATTATTATCTTGTCTTATGTTATATAGTACATCACCAAACAGAAAATAGTATTATAATAATATTTAATCTAATTTTTTTTAAGAGTCGCAACATTTATAAAGAGTGAAAAGATTAAATTCAAAATTGAATTAGTTGAATTCGTTATAGTTTCAAATAGCGATTGATATTAAAAAAAAAATGATATTAATTAATATTGTATCTTATACAATGTCACATCAAATATTATGTAATAAAATATTTTTATCGGGATTTATATTAGCAAATCATATAGAATTAAAATTTATTTTATCATGCATAACAAATGATTTTTTATTTTTATTTATTATTATTTATTATTTATTTTATTTTATTTTTGTGTAGATGATTCTTTTATCTTGCATCCAAACAAGAAGATAGATGATTCTTTATTTTTGCAGGTTTCAAAGATTTGTGTATTTTCAGGTACCAACTGTCCAACATTTTTTAGTCGAGATCCAAACATCAAGCTTTTTTAAGGACCAATTTTCATATACCTAAGTGTTGAAATTAACACTAATTTCTTCGTTTACGGTGTAACATCTCGGACGATGACGAGTGCGGGGAGTGATCGTCAGTGCGAAATGGCATGAATAGGGGTAAAAGTGGGTTGGGCTGAGCCAAGTTTTGTCCCGAAAAGCCCAAGCCTACGTCAAAAAAATTCAATTTGGCCTGGCCCAAGCCTAGTATGAGTCTAACTGTTAGCCTGGCTTGGCCCTTTTATAAAAAAGTAAATGGCCTGGCTTGGCCCGTTAGCCTGTTAATTTTTAACTTCCATGCAGAACCATGAATCAACTTTACAAAGTACTCAAATTCTGTTGCTACACCAAAAATCATAATTTCAACGTCCAAACAGAATCATGAATCGTAACAAAACTTATACAATATGCATTTAATTCATTTTCAAAAATAAAATGCTCAAACTAAATAATATATATTTCATCAGATCCAACAAACAAATCCATACTATGTAAATTAAAATAACTACATGAATTCAACAAACACATCATGATGCTTGTAGTAAGTATAACATTTTCCAAAAATATTTTAATATATTCATATACACAATCAAACATGTTGAGATGTTGATTCCTCCTATATAAGAAATAAAGTAAGATTTCTATTAAAATATAATCGAATATAATTAAGTTATAAATAATTGCAATTGGTTAAATTTGTATCTTTTGTGTTGTCTTCAAGGCATACTTATTCTATTTTATTTTATTTAAAATAAGTAGTACAATATTGACCGGCCTCTAGGCTTATAGGCCCGACCTTTTGAAAGTGGGCCTACGACCTTTTTATTAAACAGGCTTTTCTATGGCCCAAGCCCGGCCTATTATACAAATTATACTAGGTCAAGTATGGCCTGATATAGGCCGAGCCGTGGGCCCCTGTAGGCTGGCCCGGCCCAGTTTCACCCCTAGGCATGGACAAGGAGAGACTACTGACAAGCTTCCAGCGGATGGTTACATAAATGAATCGAATCGACACCCGAAAGAGAGGAATTCCAAAGACTGTGCAGGACTGCACAGTTTGGGATAACTTATAAGAATTAATTGGTACTACCTATGCTAACTGAAAAGTCTCGTGTTAGTATGTGGGGATAGTCATTCTTGAAGCGGCCGGGCTTTACAAGTGGTATCAGAGTAGGCCTCTCTCTCTCTCGGTACGATGTGGTTCAAGGACGAACCAAGCGGAAACTGGTGGACATGTAACATCCTGAGCGCTGACGAGGGCGAGAAATGATTACCGGTACAAAGAGGCACAGACAAGGAGATGGCTCCTGACAGACTTCTAGCGGAGGTTACATAAATAAATCGAATCGACACCCGAAAGAGAGATTCCAAAAACTGTGCGGGTATGATTGAAAAAGTTTATAAGAATTAATTAATACTACCTATACTAATAAAATACATCTACTTTTTAATAGCCCGAAGAAACATAGCTTATCCTTAAAAGCCGGGCGTTACATATGATAAGTTAAACTCTTGAGACAAACTATTTTTATACAACTGCAGATGAATTTCACCCAAATAAAAATAGGGAGTTACTAATCTCATGCAGCTTGAGATAGTTCTCTCATGTATGTGAAATAAATATGTGGGGTCAACACTTTAAATCAAAAGGAAAAAGAAATGAAAAACCCTAGCACAAAATTCGATAAGTGTATAACATGAGAGAACTGTCGAGAAAAGTATTTCACATAAAAATATTGCTATTGCTGGGCACGCGTCATTCCCGAAATGTTTTCTGCCTTTCTTTCACCAAATTTCTACGAATTTTTTACTGGGAACCAACATAGTGATTGATGCCTATTTGACTACTTAACTGCGTGACAGAACATTCCTTTCCCATCAAAATCAAAGTCATCATCACTACATAAAATACTTTGAAATAAATTGCTGAAAAACGGGAAGAGTTGATTCCACAAGACATGAAAAGGGTAGAGATTCTAGAGATGTAGGGGACGAAGGAGGGGTGAAACTTCTTTGTAAATAGTCTTGACGTTCGTGACTTTAAGATGTACTTTGTCACAAGGTCAAGAAACAATAACTATTATTTATTATTACTTTCAAAAGGGAAAGCATGAAACACAGTGACCAACTTTATATATGTGTTTGTTATCCCATTAGAGAAATAAAATGTAATTCTATGGTCCATTAATGCGCAATAACGTGAAACTGGCAAGAAGGAACCCTTATATTAATAATCAGTATGTACTAAGTGCTCATGTATTATTAGTCAGTATAAGGTTCGTTTGATGGATATTTGGTGAATAACGTATCTTACTAAGATTTTTTTAGTATTTATGGATAGAATAATGTAATATTTCTTACGTGCATTACTTTAAGTACATTAATTAGAGTTGAGATGATGACTGATTAGGGGTTATTAGTTTTTTCTTTGTACTGTGGAAAAAAAATTGTAACCTAACAAATTTTTTGATAATTGTATTGTCTCCTTAATTCCATTTTATACAATACTTATACTATTTGAATAATACAATTTCTTATTTTGGTGTGGTTTGTTTTATTAGAAAATCGAACTCACTACAGCAGGGGAAAAAAAAAGGTTAATAAGCGACCTCAACTCCTATAAGATAGCTGTGCTCATTCAGGAAAATTCAGAAAGAGTTGGAGTTGAGAACCTTCACAATCAAGATGATTGTGCTTAGAAGATTCCTTCAACTTTTAGATTTTATTGCAGTTTTATTCCTTTTGATCCAGGGGCATGTTCTATGTGATGGTGGATCCAATGCCCGGTGCATAGACAATGAAGCACATGCTCTTCTTAAGTTCAAGGAAGGCTTGAGTGACCCTTCAAATCCTTTATCTTCTTGGACAACTGGAAAGGATTGTTGCCAGTGGAAAGGAGTTGGATGCAACAGAACCACAGGTCGTGTTATTTCCCTTGATCTCCATTGTGCAAATTCCTCAGATAAATTGCAGGGACGTGAGTTAAGTTCATCTTTGCTTCAATTGCCATATTTAAGTTCCTTGAACCTTAGTGGCAATGATTTCATGCAATCTCAAGTGCCTTCCTTTCTTGGTACTATGAAAAGCTTAAAACATCTTGATCTATCAAATGCCAACTTCAAGGGACCCCTCCCTGAGAGTCTTGGAAATCTCTCTCGACTTGAGTCACTTGATTTGAGTCGCAATGATTTCTCCTTAGAAGTCAATAACCTTGAATGGCTTCATGTACTTTCTTCCTTGAAAAATCTTGACTTAAGCGGTGTTGATCTTAGCAGCAGTGCAAATGATTGGTTTCGTGACATTAGCATGCTGCCTTCTCTTGTAACATTGCGTTTATCAGGTTGCCAACTTCGCAACCTGCCTCAATCTCCACCTCAAGTGATTTTTCATTCTCTTGTAACACTTGATCTGTCTTTCAATTATTTCAATAATACTATACCTGATTGGTTGTTTGAAAAGTGTCATGACCTTCAACATCTTAATCTCGGTAACAATCAATTACAAGGTCCAATACCAGATTTCATTGAGAGGCTGAATTCTCTTGTATCCCTTGATCTATCACACAATGAATTCATTGGTTCAATACCAACAACGTTGGGCCAAGCTCATGGCCAAAATAGAGTTGGAGCAAATCCACGGTTGAAGGAGCTGCATCTTTCAAACAATCAACTAAATGGGTCACTGGAAAGAAGCCTTGGCCAGCTTTCAAAATTGACTGTTTTGGATTTAGCTGGGAACAACTTGGAGGGCAAGATCACCGATGCTCATCTAGCTAACTTCAAAAGCCTCAGGGTTTTGGACCTATCTTTCAACCGTGTGATTTTGAATCTGAGCAAAAACTGGGTCCCTCCTTTCAACCTTGAAACTATAGGTTTGGGAAATTGTCAGTTGGGTCCTCAATTTCCAAAGTGGATTCAAACTCAGAAGAACTTCTCCTATATTGATATATCAAATGCTAGTATCTCTGATACCGTGCCAGATTGGTTTTGGGATTTGTCTCCTAGCATTGAGTATATGAACCTCTCTTTCAATCAGCTGAGAAGATGTGGGCATGATTTTTCATCCAAGTTCAAACTTCACACACTTGATTTGAGCTACAATAATTTCTCATGTCCCTTGCCTCATTTTCCTCCAAACATGATCACTTTGGATCTGGCTGCAAACTCATTTTATGGAACAATTTCACATGTATGTGAGATGTTGGGCGTCAATAACTCATTGAGTTTTCTTGACTTGTCTTCAAATGATTTGTCAGGAGTCATCCCAAACTGTTGGCAGTATGGGAAACATATGATCATTCTGGACCTGGCAAACAACCATTTATTTGGCTCAATTCCAGATTCCCTTGGTAACCTCACAAGTCTCCACACGTTGAGTATTTACAGCAATAATCTTTCCGGAAGAATCCCAGACACACTGGAAAATTGCGAGGTGCTGATTGTTTTAAATTTGTGGTCTAATCGAATTTGGGGGGCCGTACCATCTTGGATTGGCCAAAAAATGCAAATCCTAAGGGTACTAATGTTGGGCAGGAATTCATTTGAAGGAAACATCCCAACAACGTTATGCCAACTCGAATCTTTACACCTATTAGACCTTTCCGAGAATCAATTGACAGGACCAATTCCAAGATGTGTCTTCGCAGCAATGGTTACTCCAGACACGGATCGTTCTTATATATATGATCCATATACCACCTATGTGGAGCATCTATATCTTACATTTAAGGGATTTTATCTGTATCACTCTAGGAACATGCTTCGAGCTTTGACAGTGATGGACTTGTCATCAAATTTTTTAACAGAGGGCATTCCTGTGGAGATTACAATGCTCGTTGAATTGGTTGCATTAAATTTGTCGAGAAACCAGTTAGTGGGCTCCATTCCATCCGATATTGGTGAATTGAAAAACTTGGAATCACTGGATTTGTCGAGGAATCAGTTATCATGTGCCATTCCCACCAGCATGGCTAGTATTTATAGCCTCATGATTTTGGACTTATCATACAACACTTTGTCCGGGAAAATTCCATCTGGCCCTCAGATGGAGGACTTCGACGTATTCTCATATGAAGGCAATCCCCACCTTTGTGGCCCTCCACTCACAGAAGCATGCGACAGAAAGAATTCATTTCAAGATATAAAACATTGCAGTGCCAGTGAAGGGAACAGAGAACATGAAAATGATGGCAACCATGAAGACAACAACAGTGTGGTTCTAGGAATCTCTCCATTCTACATAAGCATGGGTATTGGCTATATCACTGCATTTTGGGTGTTCTTGGGCTGCTTAACATTCATTACATCTTGGAGATATGCTTATTTCCGCTTCTTAGACAACATGAATGACAGGATCTATGTGACCATAGCTGTTTCACTTGCTAAACTGAGGAGGAAATTTCAAGGTCAACAGGTTTCCCAGTATCCAAACTAGGTTTGCTTTAGGCAAAAGAATGAATAAAGGAAAATCATTGTCTTGAGTTGGTTAATAAATTTGACTTAAGAATTTCTGCCTTAAACATGAATTGTAACTTGGTGTTTGTACCGATGGGATTTATAAGTCCACTGTGTTCCCTTTAGGGATGAGTCACTGTATGGGAGATACCATTAACTTAGGTACAGACCAGGCTAAGAGGTATTATGCCAAGCAATAACAAGACAATAAGTAAGTGCAGTAAGCAATATGACTCAAAGTAAATAGGCAATATCACGATACATAAGATGCCTTTAAGTTGTGCCCATGGGGGCTATTTATAGGGAATATGGAGTGGGTTGGTAAGGAGGGGTCAACCCTCCTTGGGATGTATTCCCATGATAGCAGTGTTGGGCGTGTTTGGCGCTGCCTTTTGGGCAGCGCTGCGCCTTCTGCGTCTGGCGATGTCAGCACTGGGCAGAGGGTAGTTTTTCCTTTATAGTGCCTGTGGCTGGCGCCTTTGGTGGTTAGCGTCCCGAGGTGGGGCATTTCGGTGTATCCCTTGGACATGCTGCAAGGTTGGAGGGCGCGAGACTCCACGTGGGTTGAGGCTGAGGATTGGGCCTGGCCAGCTGAGCTGTACCAGTATTTGGGCCATCCGGAACAGTGTTTATGCCTCTTATAGGATAATCAATAATATATGACTGTTTTTTTCGCAATTTTTCAATCCTTGGTCGTATTCTGAAATATATTATTTGCGATTGCTCAACTTTTGCAAAAAATAGTTGCGTTAAGTTTAAGGGTTTAAATTCTCTTCTGCCACATAAATTTTTTTAACTCTCTCCTATAGACACTTCGAAGTCTGTGTTTTTTTTTTTCTTACAAATAACCGGGCCCATCGTTTTTTCTATTAACAGGAGAAAAATGAACGGTCTCTTCTACGAAAGGAGAAATATAAAACCCTACAGGACGTTTGGTAGAAGAGATATTTTTTCATCAGGAAAAAAAATTTGTTGGGAACATGATAGAAAAAATTTATTGCTAAGTAAGATAAGAAAAGGTGTTTGGTATGCTAAAATCTATTGCCGGGTAAGATAAGAAAATGTGTGTTAGCTGTAGGCAAATTTTTTTACCACACATTGAATGGTAATATTTTATAATGAGATCATGTGTAAAACATGTTTTCCAGCCAAAAAATTTTGCTACCCATCTTTTTTTTTTACTCCTACCAAACATGGCTAAACTATTTTTCTCACTCCACTTTCTTGGACAATTTTTTTCCCCTCCTACCAAACATTCAATAAGTTTAATCGGTCAAACTCAAATAAATCATCGGGTCCTTCAATTTGAAGTTTCCTATGGGTGTTCGCAGTCTGGATTGAATCGGTTTTGGAAGTAAAAATCATCTGATTCAATCCTTCGGTTTGATCATATAATCGTCCATTCGGTTTTGATTTTTTTCAAATCTGATCCGATCCAATCCAATTTTTTTCGATTTGGATTGGATCGGTTTTCGGTTTTTTGAAAATCCTAAAATTTATTTCATTATTATTGTGCAAATAACATCTTTTGTATATATTGGCTTTGTAATTTATTTTTTTTGAAATACAAAAGTATTAGTAAACTATAATATAATTTTTTTAATTTTGGTAATGAGATATGAAGTTCTACAAAGATAAAATTTTGTTGATAAGATATGACTAGATTTTTTCTTGAGTTTAATTGATGGGTTAATGGGTCTTGGGTTTAGAAATTTTTAAGCTAGGATTAAGAAAATACCCAAGTAGGTAGAGGGAAATTAATATATTGGATCGGTTTGGATTGGATCGGTTTTCATCAATCCATCCAAAAACCGATCCAATTTTGGGCTATGTTTGTGATCATATTTTTCACGGTTAAAATTTCTTTAAAAGTTAAAGATTCAATTTTTACGTATGGATTTTAATTTACAATACTTTAAACGGTTAAAGTTTTTATGAACATGTTATTTCGATTGCTATGTTCATGAATCCATATGTATACATGGTTGTTTTTACTTTGTGAAAGTTTTAAAAAGGAAACACCTTTTTGAAAGGGGTAGTTCGACCATGAAAGGTGTTTTGAACACCTTGATTGTTTTCTAATTTTTCTTCATGAATTGTTTCAGAAACATGGCATGAAATTTTTTGAAAATTTGAATCATATACTCTTGTATATGGTTCGGCCATATTGAGATTTATGGCTACATGCATGGTTTAATTTTATGTTCTTTGAGAAAGAATCAATAACATTTGAATTAAATAAATTGTTGTTTAATTCGGCCAATTGAAGAATTAAGGAAAATTTAGAATTTTAATTATGTTTTAATATTTAATGGTTAAATATCAAGACATACGTGAAAAATATATTATATGATAATATTTTTGTACTTGTGAGTTATCTAACATTTCAGGTGCAAAGGAGGAAGGGGATGGTCATGGTGCCCGGAATTTGAAATTTTTAAATTTTAAATTAATTTGTAATTTTGGGCTCTTTTACAAGAGATGTAATTTAAATTTCAAATTTTTGTAATTTAAATTTTGTCCCTCCAAGATGTTTTGGAGTTTCTTTAATTGTAATTAGAGAAATTAGGCTAGTGGCGTATAGACGACAAGAAGCCGAGGCTTGAGAAGCAAGATGGACAAAAGAGCGAGCACCATGACTATCTCAAAATAAAACTGTTTTATTTGCATGTATGTTATTATACGACTAGTATGCATGAGATAGAGTATCGCGATATGTATGCTTTATGGCTTATGACGTCTAGTATGCATGAGTTGGACTAAATCGCGTTTGTATGATTATTATGCAAGTCCAATTGCAACTAGTTTAAACTGTTAGATGTATGACATAGGTTACGACTAGCATGATAATATATTAATGCGTTTGATGAGACTTAATAAACCCTTAATAAAATGAACCCTTAAAAGGAATAAAATTATTAAGCGCATGATTACCTCCCACCACCAATATTACTCAAACCTCCTCTAAATAGTGGTGCTCTACAACCCAGTTGGGACCCACTGTTTCGGTGAGTAAGAGTAGTATTAGAAGTGTAAGACACTTGGGGTGCTGGTTAGTGCTTAACTGAGACATAAGCTGCAGGCTCAGCCGGGCTTATGTGCTTAGGGTAATAGTGCTAGGTTGGTTGCATGAGATGCACCACTAAGTGACAAGGAGTTGTCAACCTAATGTTAAGAAAGGGTATGAGATACCATTGATAAAGATCAATACATTATTTAAATTAATCTTGCGGTCTCAGACGGGGGTTAAAATAAATAATCGCATTCTTACTCCCACTAAGGTAAATTCTAAAAGTAGAATAACCCTAAGTCAAAAGGAAGGGTCATTGACTTAGATAAAATAGTGGGAGAGGCAAATTAATAAAAGTCTTTAATAATATTTTTTTTACTACATGTCCAAATATTAATTAATTTTTATCTTTACATTTTCAGTTAATTAGTATGACTAATACACTGTCACTGCGCTCCATACTTGATACGAACAAACTGACCGGTCCAAATTTTATGGACTGGTATCGGAACCTAAGAATTGTTCTAAGGGCTGAAAAGATTGCTTACGTCCTAGATGCCGCATTACCCGTAGCTCCTAAGGATGGGGAAGATGGGTTCGCGGAATATGATTTCGAGGCCCACAAACAGCACATGGATGACAATGTGTTGGCTGTCTGCATCATGTTGGCATCCATGTCGCCTGAACTGCAAAAGCAGCATGAGCATATGGATGCTCCCTCTATTGTCTTACATCTAAAAGAGTTGTATGACATTAAAGGCAGGCATGAGAGGTATGAGGCCTCAAGAGAATTGTTCTTTTGCAGGATGTCTGAAAGCATGTCTGTTGGCAGTCATGTTCTTAAGATGATCGGTCTGATTGAGAAGCTAGGAAATCTAGGCTTCGTCATGGATGCCGAACTAAATAATGACTTAGTCCTCACCTCACTTCCACCTTCTTTTAGTCAATTCATCATGAATTATCACATGCATGGGATGCAAGTGAGTTTGCCTGAGTTGTTAAGTATGTTAACAATTGCTGAAGTGTCTATCAAGAAGGATAAGACACAATCTCTTCTGATTGGGGGCCTAGCAAGACCAAGGGAAAGGGTAAGGAGCCTGCTAAAGGTGACTCTCTTAAACCCAAAGGAAAACCCAAGAAGAAGAAGGGCAAAGGAAAGGGTAAGAAGGCTTCGAATGACAAGAGCAAAGCTGAGTGCTTCCACTGTGGCAAGAAAGGCCATTGGAAGAGGAACTGTCCAGACTACCTGAAGAGTGTGAAGGACTAGAAGCATGGTGATGCTTCTACCTCAGGTATTTTCATGATTGAGATAAATTATTCATGTGCTAATCCTACTTAATGGGTATTGGATACCGGTTGTGGTTCTCACATCTGCAATATGTTGCAGGTAATTAGGAGCCCCAGGAGATTGGAGAGGAACGAGGTGGACCTCCGCGTTGGTAATGGAGCAAGAGTTGCTGCTCATTCTATAGGAGATGCCGACCTCATTTTGCCTTCGGACCTTTTTCTGCATTTGAATAAATGTCTTTATGTTTCAGTATTAAGAATGGTACATTTTCTATCATTATGAATGATATTGTTTATGGTACTGCTACCTTAATAAATGGATTGTATGTTCTGGAAATGGGACTGAAGTGCTCAAAATAGATGTGAAACGACCTAGGATGGATAATCAATCATATCTTTGGCACTGTAGACTAGGGCACATAAATGAAACAAGATTGTCTAGAATGCATGCAAATGGATACCTAGATTCCTTGGATTTGGAATCCTATGGACAATGTGAATCTTGTCTAGCTGGAAAAATAATTTGTCACACGCCCAAAGGGCTTGAGAGTCATAGGGCTAGTGAGTTATTAGAACTCATTCACTCTGATGTATGTGGCCCAATGTCTATTGAGGCTAGAGGAGGATACTCCTATTTCATTACCTTTACGGATGACAAATCAAGATTTGGGTATGTGTACCTG